ATAAAAGATAAACCATTACTATCTGTAACTACCTGGTAAGCCATGAATTATATAGTTTTGGACACAAGGCGACCTGTCAACGGCCCCATACCAATCGGGCGGTCAGCAGCGATCTTTCGCTCAAAGAAACTGACCCCTTGCATACCTTTTATGATGAAATCAATATAAAGCGAACAATTTTTTGAGTAGGGGTCAGTTTTCTCACGTGACGGCTATTTCACACACCTCGACTTCAGCAATTGACCGTGGAGAGTTTCCTTATGATATTTTACTACACTGTGCACACAGCTGGAAGGTGGTTAAACATAGGGGTGACTGCAATAGGGACTGGGATAGTTCTTCTAAATAGGATAACTGAAAGGTTTTCAAATTCGGCATTCAATGGTAAATAATTTTTAAGTGATTGGCATATGCATGAAGACAAAGGCTATTATTTCATACATGGACAGGGAACACTAAAGCGCAACAAAATACTACAACACAACGAACAAAAAGATCGCGTTCCTGTAACAAACGAAAAGCATGGTGCGTTTAACGGATAACGTCACCGAAACGTTACTGCCCGGTTCAATATAATGTGATAGCCAAATCAGAAAATACAGGATGGATTCGAATCAATTTGATTATCATTTATCGCACAACAACCAAATTCGTTTAATGGCGGCTCTAAAATACGACAGCGATGAGGAAATATCCTTTGTTTTGAGCGAGAGAAAACTACACTAGATGTGTACTTTTGGAATGGACAGTATCAATACCTAATAATATTTACGAAAAACTCAGAATGTTCCATTAAGGGCATATTTATACTAATTCGTATAATATGCTTTGCATAGCACTTTAGATTGGTCGTTTTCGGTCACGTAAAATATTCCCGATTTCAGTTGAATGGCGCCTCGGAAGGATTCGCCCGATTTGATTTATATAAGAGAACCCGGGCAGTTTGACACCTTTAAGTATACATATAGAACAACAATAGCGTTAGATATTTTTGGCAGTCTGCATTATTGAGTGCATTCACGATGACTCATGAACGCATCTTCCCCGCCGTAGTTCATAGATGGATAAATTTATAGAAAATTTCCAAGTGAGTGGCATTATTGTTAACTTCAATTAAAATCGTCAATACGTATTATGTTAGGAATTGTATGAAAAAACAAGCAATATTTATTACTGTCAGTCACATGCGAATTTAAATGTTCAATCCTTGAGGATCTAGTAGATAAACCCATTTTACCTAAAACCCGACTCCATGAATTTCCTGAGAGAAACGGACACAAGGACCAGTTTTTGAAGTAGGTACTTCATTTTATTTATGACGAATTACTTATCCCACTTATACGATAGTCGATACATGTGCGAAAATTTTATGTTCTTGAATTTTTACCAACTTCGTAAAACTGTATGACATCATAAGATAATTAACACATTGCTAATATGCCGATATGCTTGGTAAATTAATGAGAATTGTTCATTGCGCTATAATATATGAATACAGTAAAGAAAAAAGCTGGAGAAATATACTCTCAATTACATATTTGCTTCGATGATAATGGTAGATATTTTTTTCGGATTGAGAGTTTACAACGGTATTTGCGATTAGAAAGACAATTCCGGCTAAATTAGCTAAATTATTCTATAACGTACACGTATAATCATAACGTCACCTCGCAAAATCATAACGTCAAGCAGTTCGGCTCGAAACACAAACAACACGTCTTTGAGTGCCTTCGGAAACATGTTATCTTGTGTTGATAAATCATGCGACATTGCTCATTTGTTTAATTAACTAATCAACACCGCGCAAACAGTACCCAACTCTTTCGCAATTGTAAAGTCCTCAGAATTAAGAATGTTTTGATTGTTTCGTGTTTCTCAGCAATTCATCGCGTTAACACCATTGAATGGAGATTTGCCAGAATAAGCTCGGGCTCTCGATAACTTTGCATTATGTACTACAAATACCCATTCCACAGACTCGTTTAAGGAAAGGTTGGGACAAATTCTGATAGCTCTAACTAAACCGAACACAATGTTGTCAGTGTAACGGGTCCTCAAGAGGACCTCGTCGACTCTTCGAGTGGTGCTCGAAGTTTTTTGGCAAATTAAATGAATCGGTGAGAACGGTGAGTTGTTTTCTTTCTGAATATCTCATTTATTTTATCATTGTCAGCATTCTGTTTGACTTGCGTGCACGAGATATTAATTATCTAAAATATGATTAGTCACATACAAAATAGGAGTGTTGTTTGTATTGCATGATATGACACGTATTGTATATGTAGGAAATGGAATCTAAATGGATAACATGAAAGAGAAAACTACAGGAAGAACTAAAACTCTGCGATATTCTTGTTTATTCTGATATTATCAAATACAGATAAAAGATTAAGAAAAAATGGCCCGGAGTCCTAACTTGGTACCTTGATATTAACATTGTAGGCGGAAAGGTTTCCAAATTGCATACTTTTTGGGTTTAGGAAGTATATGAATCTAACAATCTATGTCTTGAGCAGATGATACACATGTAAACCAGCGCATTATCCAAGCTGCGATCTGCAGCATGCTAATCAAAACTTCTTTTTTTGAATTTCAAGAGAGGTGGAAGTGTATCGTCTCTTGCGTATATTAAAATTTCATAACTGTCCTCGGTTTGACATGCAAACAAGGTATGCTAAAGATAATTATTTGCGTTTCTACCCTCCATTTTCAGGATTAGAAACTTTGGAAAACTGGAAATCTGAGACGATTGTCTTTTAAACTAATAGTTTCTTATGTAGGGTATATTTATAAAATTAGTTTGAAAATATTTTGCATCACTGCGTCCTACTTGATTCGCAAATACATGGGGTAACTGAGTTCTGTGGTATATGTGGTTACAAGACTTGCAGTAAATTCCACTTCGAAAATAAAATAAAAAATAATTTAACCGCTAGTTTTATCGTCGTGACAAAAATGCCTGTAATGACTTTACAAGTACATTCAAAACAAGAATATTAAGACTAAAATCGCGATAATATAACCTACTTATGGGAAATTTGATATGTTGTCATACCTCGGAGCCAGGAAAGGTATTGAGATGCTGAGCAAGATTAAACCAAAACGTTTTCTAACGCTGCAAATAAAATTACAAATACTTCCATCAATCGAGAATGATACAGATATAAAATGCAGATATGGACCATTCCTGGCAGAGAATACCGATACGTCACAATGCAATGCCATTTTCATAAAAATTTCCACTTTTCAAAGCGAGACTCATGAAATCTTAATGCCACTAAGGGATCGGCTTACAGCTAAGGAACCCACCATCATAGCGCTGACCAATTAAGGTGAATGAGCAAGATATATGAAGGTCATTTGAATTTTGAGCAAGTTATTTGAGATGCGAAAAACTGATACCGACGACCGCGGAAGGTTGATTTGTAACCAGAACCGAGGAGATATTGCGTTTTCAATTTCAAATTATCCAAAAAGCAATACGAGAACTCGAGAATCAAGTTTTCGTCCGCAGGCTAAAGTCGAATAATTTCTTCGTGAAAATCGAATCGCAAACGTCTAAATAAATGAAAAAGTGTAAGGCAAGTACTGTGAAAGATAATAATCAAGAAGCAAAGATATAGCGGTATTTATGATATCAGATAGTGAGAAAATTCGTATGTGCAATTTCCAAATAATATATTAAAGACGACCCCCTAAATACTGTATCGTATATAATATATATGATAGGAATTTGACCTCTTAATTGGCCATCATTTCTGCCACCCTTCGCCCATGTTTTGCAAGATTAACACTAAGGTATTCCACCTGTACATATCCGTAACCTGTTTTATGGTTAAGTTGAAACAACTCATGGATGAAAGTGGGGATTCGTTAATTCAAAAGTTTCCTTAATTACTATACTACAAGATTACCCAATCTTTGTTGCAGTTTCTTTGGCATCTTGATAAATTCCTATACCGATAGGCACCCAATTAAGAAGGCTACAATTGTATCGAGTTCGTGAAAATATGCCAATTAGGTTAGTTTTAGTGTCCAAGCCACGCACATCTGCCTCTTACGATTGATATGTAGTTCTCGTTGAGTACTCATCACTTAAGAATAAAAGTAGTTTGTACTCGTTCAGTCAAGCTTGAATCAGTGGGAACTCGAGTTTTTAATGTTCATTCATCGGGGATCACTACTCGGCCGGGCGCCACACGCTTATCAGGCGAAATAAGCCGTAAAACCTGCGTCACGCTTACACTGAAGGTCAAAGGTTTCCAAGATAGTTGCTAATTAGTCAGTGGGTAAGTACTCAGAATTAATCAAAGCTAATACTGAACACCTATTCAAACAATGAACGGAAATGATCAAGGTAAAGCCAGAAATAAAGACTTTGTGTTTTATTTAACTTCCCGTATCATTGCACTCGCACAGAAAAATGAATATTTAATACTATGCTATGACATGTTTGTAATTTTTCAATATATTTTCAATAAAATAGAGTACGTTCGGAATAAACTGAAAAAATCCATTTTTTTATGTTTATAAAATCATTAACACCATAATGCCTTTCCCCCATTTCCGTAAATTTATTCCGAGTGGGAACATTATTACCGTATTTATCAGTATCCTCCAGCGATCATGTAATCCCATAATAAACGAAATTAACATGATGAGATCAAAGAAAATCCACGAAAAAAATGAAAATTGTGGTAGCATATTCGAATACGCTTGAATAAGCGCACATACCAGAGAAACAGGCAGTAACGAATGAACGAAAAAAACTTAATTAAACCATACAATGAGAATTATATGTGTGAACCAAGTGAATTTTACCCATTTAACATGTGTTTACAATTAATGGCGACGAATTAGCGCAAATCGGTGCTTGGCTTATAACATCATGATAAATTTCGGCGCGTTTCAACGTTTTACGTTCTATCTATAACATCAACATGAATAAACCAAAAAGCTGAAATTTGCATACCTGTGAAAAAACACGGAAAAATATATACCTTTAACAGTTAATTTAATCTCATGATCCACTGATCCATACGGATTCGTAGCAGTGCACTTGTAAGTTCCTGCATCACTTATTCTTACATCACGTATTCGAAGATTTAATCCAGATTTTAAAATCTTAAATCTGTTCCGTAATCCCAAAATCTCTTCACCTGAAATGGTAGATGACGTCATAAGTAAGTACGTCACTTCTGAAATATGTCTTTTGTTTAGTATATATCTTTCGTTTTAGTACTATTCAATGATTTCGCATGACAACTTAATAAAATAATTGTACTCAAAACAAATATAAGTGTCAGTACGTGTATCAATAACTAACATTTTAAAAACCAAATCAACTGCTTGTAAGACTTCCAGCAGTTTAGATTTTCGCCTTAAGCAGAGTATCAATAAAATAAAAACTTGGTCCTTTTAAAGTGCACGAGATCTGTTCGCCCAAGAGTCGAATTGTTAAAAATTGGGTCGAAGTGAAAGCGCCGGTCGACAACCGATGACGGTTAAGATTTCTTATAAAGAAGCCTGGACCCTTGCTTTGAAATTCGGCATACAGTTTCATGAAATAACCAATTTAAAATTATTTGATTTGTGGGTTTGTATCTAGTTTTTGTTTCATTTTTGAAATGCCAAACCTATCTAAAATGATAGCTTTCATTTTTTTAATAAAATTTGATTTTCACCCTTTTGTATTCTATAGGTATAGGGTTCAGTTCAACTCATGACGTACCTCGTACATCGTATTAGTTCATTGAATGAAAAAACAAAAACAATTCGAGTAATATTCCGTTGGTGGTCTTACACTCCGAGCATGTATCACCCACTTGACAGGGAGGGTTAGACTTAAGGGTCAAGAGCCGGATGCCTTGCGTGCGAGCAAAGCTACAACGAAAGTGTGAAGAAACACGACAGAAATGGATTATATTAGACATATTTGACACACAATTTAACGGATTATATATAGTTACCTATACAGATTTAAGAGACGTGAATCGACTCGCCAATCAAAGGCCGGATATAACAAGAAACATGTAACCCACTAATAACTTTAACGAATTCTTCAATAAGATTAGTTTTACCTTTTTTCTGAATAACCGACTTCAAATAAATTAGGAATCCGTTATTCAGAAACGCTGTAAAATGATCCTTACGTTTCATTGCTATGTCGATTGCATAATGAACGAAACTGATACAAAAATCGTAAATTCAAAATTTACATCGAAAAATATTTTCAGCGGTAGTACAGCGTTTCTTGATGGATAAATGTATCGTTAGTTATGCAGTTGACGTTGTCGGGTAGTCTTGATTGACAAGAAGTTAAAAGTACCACACTTGAGCAAACTACAAAAATATCTTTTTTGTGGCGAGGTTGAAAACCAAGTCTATGACCTCGGCGCCTATCGCCAAATATCGTTGACGTACGACAAGCAATCAATCGGCATAGTGCTAATGTATTGAACAATAAAAGTTAGACGAGATAAAAGAGCCGCTTTGGAAGTGGGTATGTGTGCCTAGCCATATAATCCACTAAACAAGCATTCGCTGAGTACACACGGACTTCAGAATTAGGAAGTGCACGTTTACCACAATTTAAAAGTAGTTGCTTTCAATACAATACTCTATTTTGAAAACTCTAAACCACTCAATATCATCACAACACGCAAAATATAGCTTTCAAGGGTACGCAAAAATCTCGACCGGAGTTTATACTGCGCACACCAAGAACATGAAATTATGTTAAAAAAAAGAGCTGAGAAATTGAGAATACATAAAAGAAAATATACGGAGTAACTTTGAAACGATACTGCCAACATGCTAGTTCCACTGAGATAAAGCTAAAAAATTTTATCATGTGTATGTTTTTCGAATACGTCTTGTCAATAAGTATGATTTCGAATCTGTTCCCAATGTATATGTCACTGTGACGAAACGCATATGACAACACCTAACTTCTTTCTTTTTCTGCTTGTACGAAAAGTCAAGCAATAAGTGATCATGAATGCTTATGACGATCCTCATTAAGAATACATTTATAAGTCTGCGGTAACCTAGTCTGTTGACAGTGCTTTTTCATTAAGTTAGGTCTCAAAGGTATGGATGGCCTTCAAAATAACTCTAATTATTACATGCAGCTCTCGTAGCTCACGAGTTCGCCTGAAGTGAACAGAATGTCACGTCAAACTTGTATAGTTAGCAAACGTCTTTATAAAGCTCATTGTACACGCAGCACATGCTCGTTAGTATGATGTTTGATGACGATATAAGGACGGCATTGAGTATACATGTGATGGTAATCTGTGTCACATTAAATAAATCTTATATGTAGAGTCCTATAACTATGAGTATGTTACTTGGACAGCTTCATCCTATTTGTTAATTTCTTGAACATACGGAGCACCACATTTTTAAATTTGGTGATATATATTGATGTGATTTCCTATCAACCCAAGCATTTAAACTATTCATATGGAGCGATTGGAAATTATTTGCATGTACTGCAATTATTTGAAGCATCCGAGATATTCGATAGTAGCGATTTGGAATAGGAATGTGCAATATGCCCAGTAAATAGCTCATAACTGGACTTGGCGACAATATTATGCCTCCTCCCTACCAGCCAAAATGCTATTTTTTTTCTCAGTAAAAATGGTTCTCAATTGCGTAATATAAAAATAAATTTTCATAAACTTTAATTAAGCAGTGTTTGTTATATTGTTCCTTATATAGGGCTACACAGCTGCTGCGCACTAATATGCGACCCAATTCAGTTAAGACAAAATTAAAGTTGAAACTAAATTGTTTGACATTCCACAGTATAAACGGATACAGTACAAACTGAATTGGTTTCATTTGTACACCTGACGGATAAAACTGATTCTCTCTTATTTACAGATTTGTGTGTCGCGAAACTACATGTAGCAAATATAAACCAATATTGAGAGGACCAGTAAACCCGGCAAAGTATAATATTTGAACAACATCTATTTACAGAAAATGTTTATCCCACCTGAATTATGAATTGATAAACACAACTGCACATGATGCTTATGAATAAAATTATCGGAAATAAAAAAAACTGAGTATTCCGTTTTTCTTTTCTATTTTGGCAGAAGTCCAAAATTGACGAAAAAGTATGTGAAAGTAAACCTAATATTTTAGTGATTATGCGTTAAAATAAAAACTTGCACGTCTGTGCCATGCTGTTAAGACATCATCTGCAGAACATCATATATACGTTTACTATACACGGACTCAACACTTACGAACGTACCGTTTAGTTTCCATGATATAAGAGGTGGTGAATCTGCCTCAATTGTACAAGGCAGTACAACAGCTTCGCCAATCACTGCTGATAACTTGACTTTTGATTCCCCGGTCAATCTTGGAGGACCTGTGAAATGAGGAGTATTATGAATAGGTTTTAGCGCTACTACAGGTCATTTTTGTGTAAGATTCATTTAGTATTAGGGTTATAACATTTTCACATGAGTCGCATCGAGCGCTATTTGCGGTATTTTGGCCACAATAGCGATTACAGGGATGGATAGGTTTATTCCGTACCAAACGGAATTTACTGTACACAGGATTAAATCGTAATTAAAAGGTTGGCCGCGGTTGGCGGCACACCAGTAACTTGTAAGCGATTAGTGCCGGTAGCTTAGCATACAGATTATAGTAACCAGACATGGTTTTCGTGGTGATCCAACGATCAACCCATGATGGTTTCATATGAAATCGAATGGCTACTCCGACGGACGCCATATTCAGCGTGAAATTGTCAAGATTTTACGGATGCTTTATTCACAACGGGATTCGAACCCAAGATCTCTTCCGATGCGAAATCATTTTTGCGAAAACGATCTCGCTACATTAATACCAAAAACGTATTCATTTCTTCAATAATGGATAAACACCTTGGATTTACTAATAAAACATTTCACTTTTACTCTATTGCGCAGAATATTTAGCTTGGAAACGACGTCGATTAGTAACATTTACGTCTTAAAGAAAATAACAGTCATTTTATTAATACAGCGCCCCACTCGCGCTAGAGATTTTTTATTAGTAATTCTTTAACAGTGTAATGAAATCGTCTTGTCATAAAACTAAGTATTATTTGTATTTGATAATACGAAATCTCGATAACAATGTGTACCATTATAAACATCACAATGAGTCAAATTATGATCACAATCTCAAAAATATAGGAAAATGAGCGCGATTTCTATGGTCACCTAACTATATTCAATCCGTGAAAATTACTGGTGTTCTGAATTTAGAATTACTGATTTTTGCACTTTATAAAAGTGACTCTTCCCTTTACGACAGGAACAAACAAAAATCGCTGTATTTGTACCACCGCTCCGACTAAACGATTGTCATATAAACATACTATTTGCCCAGGAAATCGAAAAAATTTTATGTTTTACTTCTGTCTCGGCGTTGGCCTCATGTATAGAGTAATGGACGAACCGAACATAAATATGCGCCTGATTCTACCTATAACGTAAGTATGGTTATGTACTGATTTACCTATCTGCAGACTCAAGCCTGCTACCAAAAATTACATACTTTTGTCTATTCTAGTTGCCATAAATGCCTTGCAAACAAGTCACTGAACGGAATATATGGATTGTACTAGGGCCCTGTAAATATATTTATACTGGTGTTGCTAGTAGTCGCTGTGCTACGTTTATATAGGAAAGTTTAGGAAGTATTCTTCAATACTAATCTCTAAATAATATATATTTGTTTGGAAAAATGTCGTATATTATGCGCGATCCTTTAACAAATTAAAAGGAAGGTTCATGATAATAAGATAAACTGCCATAACAAAGCTCAAAACTAAGACGAATTATTAAGGTCGTAATATTTGGTCTTGGTTGGCCCGTTAATCAAGTTCATTGGCGTCATGCTTTTAAACAGTTATAAGTGAAAATTAGTTTTAGATAAAGTATGTCAAATTATAACAAACGCGAGTGGATCTCAACTATTTTTTACAACGTATTTCGAGTACAACGGATGAACATGCGATCAAAAGTATATATGGCGTTTTATTTGTTTTTCCAAGAGAAAGTTACAAGATACGTTTGATTAGATATAAAAATACAAGTCACTGTATGATATAGTTTATTATTCTTTCGGGCTGGAGAAAATGTAATTCGCTGTTGAGTTTTGTAAATCTTACATAGGAACGTACTTACATAATGTAAAAGGGTTTGCAAAAAGCATCAAATTACAGCAATTTTAAACAGTTTTTTCTTTTCCAAGTCTTAATCTATGCACAGAGGATCAATTGACTACAAATAATAAATCGACTAACAGTCAAATGCTAAAATGTGACCTATGTTTTCAGTGACTAATTGTAAAGTTTGCGTTAAACGAAATTGTTGAAGTTTTGTACAGCCGTCAGCTGGTGTTTCTGTTTCACGCCAACAAAATAAGCCAGATAATGATTGTGTTATTTACTAAGCATTATGTTCATTTATTCACAAAAGAAACTTCGTTTACTGTAAATACTATCTTTCCCATACGCCAGAAGGCATTTAGATCCTTTTCTCGATCTACGTGACGGGCTGAATGCCGTTATCTCATAAATTACGACGGAGATGGTGCGTTAGAAGTTTAATACGGTTTTTGTGGTATTTTGTATGAAGTTCGGAATTCAACATAAAATATGGTAAGAAAATCCATATTCGGTAAAGAACAAATAAAAGTTTTAATTAAGCGTTTTATTCGTCCCAGTGTTCCCATTAGTGCAAATTGAGTATTAAACCTGTGAAATTTTTTACCTGGTTTTTAAAGATAAAACGACTAATTAATGAATATTCGAAAATGCCATAACCAAACCAATATATTTCTATGTAATCAATGAAGGATTTAGGTGAGATTTTCTCAAGTGATTGATGTCACATCAGTAAAACGCTTACACACACCCACGAAAATTATTAAACGTCCTACTGAAGGTATTTAGGTTTTACATTATAACACATCAAAGCGAAAAATGCCGCCGTGTCACAGATTATCTCCTGTTGTTAATTCCAAGATGCTTCACTTCAAGGCCACCGAGTGCTTGTCGTTTATTCTGCCTATTCAAATCAATATGGCTTGAATTGGTGTTCAATTGCAGTGCAAATACTCGAGATAAAAGAGAGTTTTTGGCTGTGGAATATGCTCGGGCCTTTTACCATAGCACAAAAAAGAATGTTGCTCTGTAAAAGTCAAACTCCAAAACAACGAATTTTCACGGTATAAGTATTACAAAAAAAGCACTGCTTGGTTTGCCTAATTCATACGGTATTCCGAGTCAATCGAATCAAAAAGTCAAAATATATTTTTGCATACATTGCATTTCTAGACAGGACTTACAAATTTAATACAATACCAGGAAGCCTCAGAGAGCTATTGTGTCCGCTGAAATAATTAAATTTTTCGTTCAATTTGGTATAATATAATAACAGATTTCTTTTGGTCTATGAGTCGCTACTTACGACTTAATAGAAAATAAACACATTAGAAAAGCATGTGGAAACAGAAATTATCGTTTTAGTCATGCTATTCTGAAATAATTACTGTCGCCAACAGTAAATACCATCATTAAGAGTTACCGGATGTACCTGACTTCTGTTGGTCGCGCATGAATTACTCTGTAATTTTATCTGCAGTTAAACTGTGTCGTTTTCGTAATATCGTGTTTGGTCAAAAATGATACATCATTAAATAAAATTTAAAATCTGTGACTTGCAAACCAACGATAAGGACCGAAAACAACTTGGCGACACCGTCCTAAGCAATTGATATTAGTCGTATATTATATATTAAAATGACAATTTCGCAAACGTAAATAGGGTTGTCAATTTCTGAGTATGAGCCGTGAATATATTACCTGAACAATAAATTTCTAACTGATAAAATTTTGTAATTACTAGTTACACAAAACAATTTATCAAAGCTATTTTAGTGATTAGTCACACTCAAACTTTTGAAACGCCACATTTGACAACAATAGGGGTACTGAATTTCCAGTAAGAGTTTGACATTAATGAGAAATGATTCTAATAAATAAATTTGAGCCAGACCGAAAAAGAATCCGATAGTGAAAATTCAAAGCTGGAATCACTGCTCAAAACCACGTCGCAACGAATGCCAAGTCTTCTTATTAGAATGGCGTTCAATATTTAACGTCTGCATTTAAAAATCCTCTTGTAAAATTAAATTATATATTTTACAGATAATCCGAAGCGAAAGAGTCTAATTTAAGGGCCGAGCACCTTTACAAACAATTGGCACCTTCTTATTTTTTTTTTATCGAAGCTTGCCATTCGTGCTATTGAAAATAAGCATTAATTACTTTGTACTTATCGGTACAAGATATACATGATAATAACTACCTCTAGTTTCACACGACCCTAATCGCGGTAAGTAAACACTAGATATTCAATGAGTCTGTTAAGCTGAAGTGCTATTTCAATTTGTGCAGGTGTGATAAACTGGAACATTAGCGATAAAAACCGGAGTATGGATCTTACGTAGATTCTGAGTAAAACATCGGGTCATTAATAAATATATTTGAAATATGACAAAGAATAGGCCTACAGATATTATAATTTGGAAATCAGTGTTGTTCGCTAACCGAAAATGTTCTTTGCTGAACAAACGCAATTTTTTGGGTCCCAAAATATTTACACGAAAATGCGCGGCATACGACCAAAGTAACAAAGCATAATAAGTTTACTATAAAGAAATAGAGGAATGAATTTTTAAGCGTTCTCGTGTTTTATTGTCGTTTGAACGGAGTATTCCATCGCCAGGCCATATTCGAATGAGTTTAAAATAATGAAAATTCTGATGGAATATCGGACAAGTTTTTGTTATTATTGATCACGATTCAGTTATGATAAAATTAGCACATAAACAATGCGAATTATCCGTGGACCATTCACAATGGGGCGTGTCCTGTTTGAATAGCTCATTCCTACTTCCGTGGTATCTGTTCGACATTACTACAGGCACGGAAGATGACAAACACTAAAACTAGGTCTTGCTGGTTAATAATTAGACAAATGATTAATAACGAAGCCAATTGCTCGTAAAATACATATAGGCGATCCGTTTTTTGATCATAAAAATGTTGTTTATACAAACTGAGTATATACCGAGACCAGGCAATCGCATCTGATTATCCAAATGTACTCTAAGATATAAATCAAATTTGGTATGCCGAAGAAAAATGACATTTCAATTATGTGAAGCTGTTTGTGTTTGGCGAAGACATGTTTCAATTTTTTGATTAACGTGTTTGTTAACATTTGTTGCACCTTTCTGTTCCAGGCTCTATTGCGTAAAGTCTGTGGCAATAATCGTCCTATAATCTAGAATGAAAAGTCCTCTGTAACGCTGGAGAGACACCGTGAAATCTGCTCGCCAACTTACCGCTATCTAATATTAGCGCAGAGCAATTAAAAGTATATATATTGTAAATAAACCCTTACCTCCTTTTAGTGAAACTTTCGCTTCACAAATCATAAAACAAAAGAGAAAACATAAGAAACTCGACCACGCTGTTGTTGACAATTTCGGCATCTTTCTCCTGCAATAAAAGTAGCAATGATTAAACTGGATTACTCGTAGAAGGATTCTCTACTATCGAAACCCAGGAGTACGCGATACGACTTTTCATTGTGATGTCACAATATGCTCTTTTCATCAAATCGATAAGTGAACAAAGTGTGTCATGCAGGCAATCGAAATGAGAAGAATAGATGTTCCCCGGATCACCGAATTCCTTGTTCAACGTTGCCTATCAGTAAGGACTAAGAAGTCAACAGTGACATAACAATTGAGCAGCCGCTCTGAAATCATCTATTTCAGGCAAATTTAACGCGTGATTATATATGGTAGTAGACATTGACTTGCTTTCGTTGTTTCGAATGTTATTTGTTATGCTTCCAAAATTCAAGCACAAGTATTCAAGCATTCGTTATTTTGTCTTCAGGATTGTATTAGTTTGGTTGCAGTTATCAAGAATATCCGAAAAACTAAATAGACAAAGCTTGTAAAATAAACTGTACTGTTTAGTGGCGTTTCACACCTTGGGACGAAATGTTGATTTTAAAAATGTAAGTCGAATTGCTACTCGCTATAATGTTCTTCAGATGAGCATAAAAATTTGCAATGGTGAATTATAGCAGTTGTCAAGGGTCAGGGAAAATCCACTGTAATCATTCTGTGAATAAGAGATGCGAAATACCATCAAACCTATTTCAATAATATCTCCACGCCAAAAGCATAACCGCGCAAGTTTTGATGAGATCGGGGTATTGAATTTTACACCACCCCGTGGACACGTAACTATTATCAACTCAGAATAATGTAATGACAACTAATGTTTCAAGATTGAGAATAGCAAGAAACAATGAAATCGTTGGTGGTGTTTGGGTAGAGGACATTATTTGCGAAATGGTAAATAACCTCGGGTTCCAGCTTCGCACTCGACTATATTCACTTATTGAGAATATTGGGCATCTTTGTGATGGTTGAGTTTTTCACGATCATATAGAAAAGGGTCACAGAATATTTAAGCAATTATTATGTCAATGTCAAATACTTAATTGAATATACCGCCATTGATTTTGATCATCTCACAAATATGATAATTCTGGAGTTCAATATTCATAATAATATTAAATGAACGCACCTGAATTTTGATATAAAAGCATCTTCTCGATAAAGGCATGCGGCCGATGGCAAGAGTTTTGTTTTTGTTAAAATATTGTTCTTTGAAACGCCACTACTTATAAAATAATCCATGTTCTTCGAAGTTCTATTGGAACGAAAAGATGAGCATTTGTTGACCGGGTGTCGGCCATATTTGTCCCATGGGTCCATGCTGAATCGACGCACTATCTGACAAGTAGTTTCGGCGCATTTGAAAGCATCTAACTCCCGCCGACCTTCCAGACAATTTGCGGCATTCATGTTTGGCACATCAATTCAAAATTCTCCTGTGAGTATTCAATATTCAAATGTCGCTCAATTCTTCTTTTAAATACATTTCCACTGAAGGTTAAACCGAAAAGTCTTGAAACACTGTATTGCTGATTTTAGATTATCTGATGTTAAAAGCGTATTATATTCATAAACAACAATTTTCTGCAACCAACTATAAATGCAGTATTATTAATAGTATCGTATACTGTAATCAAGTCACCTGACCAAAATGATATCCATTTGAGATATGAGTTACCTTTGAAATCGACTAGTCACATAACATAAGTACGAAAGCAAACGCTATCGCTGTTTGAGCATGACACGTTGATAAACTGGCCATTTCTGTCTAGATATAATCGTAAATTACGGAAAATAATTATGCAGTGCTAAAAAAAATTCCTCGGTAATACCAAACGATACTCGCTGATAAATAAAAACTATACAGTGGTATGATCTACTACAACGTAATTCTCTTAATTTTCATACATACAAACCCCTAATCAGACGGTAACATGTCGAAGCCACACCTGCGACAGAAACGACCGCGACATAACAATGCGTACAGATACAAGTCGCTCGCTATCTCCGTCACCTCTCTCTCTCGTGTTTCGCAACTTTTTTCTCCCAGTGTCGAATTTCGCGTACCTCAACTGCACACCGATAGTACGATAAGCTAGGTACGTTCTGCTTATTGTAAGTTTGTAAAGCGGGACAATTCACAATATTTTTAATTGCTGTATTCATTCAGTAATTTTTCTAATACTTCGAAAAAAATGTCATATCCTAGTAGTGCGTGGATTACATTCTTGTATCTATGCTATATATCAACGGCAAGTTTAATGCTTACTTTATATTTTGTTTTAACTATTATTTCACCGTATATATTCAGAGTCAAATTTAATAAAAACATTAGCCTTGAACTCGCGAAATTAAAGTTTCCAAGAAATTCAAATTTTATCACGCAACACGAAACGGCGAAAAAAGTGTACGTAATATTTTTCTGCTCAATATTTCTCAATTAGCCCCTAATTTAAATAAGAAAAAGTTGCACATGGCGCGAATAGAGCTATATGCAAATCCATTCTAATGACATAGTTATTAATAGGCGGAGGTCATCTCAGAGAAGTCAACACCGCTATCCCATCAATTCAACGAAACGGATTCTTTTTGAGAAAAAAACATCGAAGCGTAGAAATTGATCGGCAAGCGAAAATCATCCAATTTTACCATACGCCGGGAGGCAGCGCTAGTTTCTGCTCACACGGCTATGTATATACGAGACTCTAATAGACTCGACACTTTTTCAAGAAAACTAAGTTAGAAGAATTATTTCGGTTTTGTATATATATACAGTATATCTTCAGAATTAAGCCAAAAAGTTGAACCGCGGCAGTCTTCCTCCCCATTCCCCAAAATTGTGAAACAAAAAATTTGCACAAAACAAGTTGTTTGCACTAATGCGTATCCATCATATGTACGGCCAGCCTAATAAAAGTTATTTGACCGAATGGATCCCAAGTTGATTCGAGCCTAATACTACAACTTGCATGGTGGTCTTTCTCATTTCTTCACATTTAGTTGCAAAACTTTGGTACAATGATCCTGTGCCGATTTCGGAATTGTGTCGTCGAAACAAGAATTAGCGGATCATTATTTGCGATACAGTGACTTATACAAATAATTCAACAAAAATATCAGCTAATTGAAATGTCATGTATCGCTCGCTTTCCGGCCCGCGTAAGTAAAGAAAATAAACTTGATGTAGCCTTTGGCTTATCAGCAACTTTAACCTTAGTTTCATTGTGAATGCACTGCCCTGCAGTAACAATATCGACATTGCTGATCTGCGTTCATAAACCATGATCCATAGATGATTCTACGTTTAGATCACGCATGAGGGATAAATTTGATGCCAACATCATAACATTCATAATCAACTCAAAAAGTCACAACGTACCTGCCTTAGAAAGGTCGTTTTCTTTATCCCAGATCACCCCTTTCATTTATGCAATAAAATGGTGGAAAATAGAAATATGAGCGCATGTGGCTCAGCCGTGACATGTGAACCGCACATAATTCCGCACGACGAGACAAACAGAAATACAAACAAAACGAGTCCAGTGGTTCTTATCTTGATGTGCGACATCTCATTAGTAATAAAAATCATCACTTTATAAATTTACAAAACAGAAGATGATAGCTCTATTTCATAAATCTTCACAGTAAATACAATGGAAAACCATGACAAACATTTGAAACTAATAGACTTTTAAAAGATTGTATGATAAATGCCAAGTGTGGTCTATTAAGCATGTTTCATAATGAAGTTGTTTTTTCTTGTCTATGTCACTCGATTGTCTAATAACTTTTCAAAATTTCTAGAACATGGCTGCGATAAAAACGGTACAACACTGTTAAAGTCCATTTTACATATTTAATAGTTAATTCATAACTAAACGAATCCTGTTGGTCAAGTCTAGTAGATTACTGAATAATCGGAGGAAAATGAGAAAAAACTCCACGTTACAGGATACAACATCTTGATTCGTTGGTTATAGCCATACTTCCTTGACCCCGTTGCGCCATCAAGTAGCTAAGACAATCAGTTACGGCACGAGCAAAAGCAACAGCATCTTGCGCTGAGGTTTTGCTAGAGACAGTGGTGTGCATATCAGCCTTGCTGTGGAAGGGCAGGAATGACTGAAACACTAAATCGTGACAGTCACGCTCGCTAAAGAATCCTTCTTTCCTTTGACCGCGCTTGCTACAAACCCCGAAAAAAGTCGCCTCACGGATTGGTGGTTGATAATCATCTGAAGTAAATAAAAAAGTACATAGAAGTAATAAATCTACATGGAAGTAATATGCGAATATCTAAACTCAATATTAAGGAAATAGAACAGGTAGTAATATATATGTTTTGGGAATTAGATCAGCCTATCGCGCGGTTAAACGGAATAATGTAATATGACGTCACATACACTTCAGATTCACTATTTTTTGAATAACGTATTTATACCTCTTTAGCTTATGCCACTATAGTATGGCAGATCGGCATTGTCTACTCACCATAGTTGAGTATAGCGCTTTATTGACCACGGGGCCAAGGTGTTATACATTAGAACTATTGCAACATCAGCAGTACAAACCTTTTTGCTGCATCATTTCCGTTGTTACATATTGATTTGTTAATGGATTTAGCTTTCTCTTCGTCTGTTTGTTTACTGATTGCAATGCCGATTTCCCACCATCTCTGCTTCTATCGAAAGTTGCCGTGACACAAGACGCATAAGGCGGTGGACCCGATTTTTGTATTGTTTCGAAATCATCCCAATTAAACGTGCTTTTCCGATACCACATTCCTGGTCCCCGGACATCCACTTCACTGTCAATTACTACAATGACGTCATAGCAAGGGCGAACTCTGGAGTTAAAGCGCATAATTGAGTTCGTCTTTCCCAAGAATAATTTGAATAGGAATGAATTACATAATTAAGTAAAAAAGAGTAAGAATTAAGTAAATAACTTAAATAATAACAAAAGATGCTCAAATATATGGATACGCAGGCCAAAACAAATGAGTGTCTATCGCAGTAGAGCAGTGTTCCCGACTTCGCCTGACCACCAGATCACAAACGCGGAACCGCCACAAGGTGCGCAATATTTAATTTTGATGATGTTGTCGCACAAAAAAAAATTATACCCCTTACATCCAACAGAAATTTTTGAAATAAATGAAAGCAATAACTTTCGAGCAAAAAAATACAATCTTTAACCACTGAAAATTTCAGAGCAATTGATCCTGTAGTTAATGAGAAAAATGATTTTTTCCATAACAATGAGAATGAAAAAAGGGTACTCCTGAAGTATACGCATCAAGATGTTGCATAACCTGAACCCTGACCTGGTACACAACCTGAGTGCAGGTTGTGCGCCATTTTGGTGCGCATACTTCAGGAGGTCCGAAAAAAGAATTCTATCAACAACATAATATTAATAAACGATCCATATGTAATGTTCGTGTCCAAAAAGGGATCAAAAACATATAGTATAAACGAAATTACGTTTCAATAGCAGCGTCACATCGTATCTGAAACATTCCATGTGTTGTGATGAAAGGATCTCTTGTTTTTAATATCGATCGATCACAAGCAATAACGTCAGTTGGGATTTTGAATTTTTTCCTGAGTTCATGAACAAGAACAGCAAGTAGTTGCTCGTTTACTCGATTCGCTGTAAGAATAGCTGCACGGCACATTGTCAGGGGTCTGAAAACAAGAAATAAAACAAAAAAGTTATAAATATATTTATTCAAGTTTTACTAAAACAGAATAATTGAAGTCAGTTTTATGTTGATTACCTGGATTTTTCGAACTCTCAAACTTATCTTATTTTCCATTCTCTGCAAAAGAATCTGATTTTCACTTCTGAGGTCTTGCACATCTTTAGCGCATTAAATCAATGGCTAGTCTAAATTTCGAGTTCAAATGCCTTTTGTAAAATCTGACATTACCGAAAACTTTCACAAAAATACCATCCACGTAGGTGTAAATTGGTAACAATTCGTGTATATTATTATATTAATATATACTATAACCTTTTTCGTAGCTGCAGGGATTCTTGGACAAATTTCCAAACAATGTTTACTGCATATGATGATGATTTTGTCAACAAATCTATCGTGGTTTTTGTTGAATGAACTTCAGCTTCTTCACAATAATTAGGTAATTTTTCTAAACTCTTCCCAGGATGAAGTTTCCCCATATTGAAAGCATGTGGTCTCTCCGAGTTCACGACAGCACATATGGGGATTAAACAAAATTTCCGTATAATCAAAGGAATCCGAGGATTATCTGTGAGCTTCATCAAAATTTTTCTTATATTTTCTGATACATTGCGACCCAATTCTATCTTTCTATATGTTTCAATCATCGAAAATGTATAATTTCCGTATTTCGACAACTCTTCTTTCTTGCGACACTTGATCATGCACATTCGTGCAACAGCGGCGCATGCATTTACTGTTCGAAGTGGATCGTTCTCAGGTGCGGGAGAGCACATGATAATTTTAACATTTTGTCGATTTGAAGGTATATTGTGAACTATTTTTGATCCCTTCGCTTCTGTTATCATCCAAGTCTTTACAAAATTCAATATTGCTTTCGGTCTTCCCTCTGAGCATTTTGTCAGAATATTCCAAGTGTATAACAGCCTCACTGACCCTCCAGCTGTGATAATCCAGGTGTTATTATTTGTTTCAACAACATCCGTTTTGATTAGTTCAGTATGTCGAGGTTCCTCAGTAATTGCTTTTACAATAGAAGATAATACTGGATGAGTATTCAAGCGACCAATGCTGACGTCATCTCCATCGGGAAGAAGTAGCAGATCAAACAACCTGTATGCAACATTTGCTTATTATTATGTCTATGTTGGGAATGTTCATCCTATAAATCGAATTATACCTACAGTATTTTTGAATTTATTATTGACTTGCTTATGTCGAGGCTAAATTAAAACTAGACGATATATTATTTTTCAATCAAGCGAGACGTGGCCATAGCAACAGAACAAAATTGAACAAAGCAGAAATTGCAAGAGGAATCAATAAACTGACATCCTTATAATATAAATATGTCACTTAGGAGAATAAATTTAGACAATTTAATGAAAACGCCACATCAGACCTTGCTATGACCGTGACAAAGTTAGATCGTGAATAATTCTTTTCGAAATAGAAGTAATAGACTCACTCATTAGAACTTCTGAATGCTCGTTCAAGGCTGCATGTCGGTTTAATTACCAAACCGTTTTGGAGCGTGACAGGGGACCAACCTACGAGAGAGAAACAGAGTGACATATTGCAGAAATACCAGTCAATGAAGAGACTGCTATGTGGAATGTAGAAGTAAATTACCCAAGACTTACTTACCATCGGCTGATGCAATGATGACTTGAACTCCAAGATTGGAAAGCACTGATGATGTCACGATTACATCAACATCACTACTACCAGACGCTATTGCGATCAAAGCTTTGGGCTTCATTTCTTAGTAATGATGATTTTAAACTCTCGAAAAGATTTAGTACTGTTACTTGTGACGAAATAATGAAACGAATTACAAACTACAATATTTTTATCACTACCAGTAGAAGTAGCGCGAGATTTTACGTCGCTATCTGTTTCTAAACATAAATAATTGTTTGGGCACAATTAATCCGAGAATTCAATTTCAAACAAATTCATTTAACGCCGTATTTGCACCGCGTGATTGTTTTTTTCTTGCCATTGATGTAAACTGCTTGTCTGGGGAAGTCTGATTTTGGTCAGACGAACGTCACAGAAATACATTTGTGTTAGTATGCAGCAAGACTCTTCGAATTGCATGGTACAGCATTACTATTTTTTTTTATTTTATAAATCCATGTTAAACAACCATACCAGATACATTTCCACCCACCCCACTATATCTGAAGGTGCTTTAAATGATTTCTATGCAAAAGAATATATTCTGTCAAATTTCCCTTGCATGTTCCTTTGAAACATGTCTTTTTCCTTGTTGGTTGAGGAAGGAGGAGATTAGGCCTCGATAAAATCGACTAGTGCGTCAGATCGCCAATGGATGCGTCAAATGAATCATAGCGTGCGAAGGCTATGTGGATCCTTACGGCGAGCTTCATCAAACCTCATAAAACTTCTATTACAATCCCATACAAAGAAAACAGTTTCTACTGTGGCAAATGTTTTATTGCAGAAAGAAAAACAAAACTTACCGATAAATAAACTCCACAAGTGAATATAAAATAAGTATATACAGTCAAAACATTTCATTTGTTATCTAGGTTTCACGGCAAGAAGATCTAGAATGGCACATTCATTTAAAAAACAAAACAAAAGAGGCGTTAAGGGTAATGCCAACTAGGCAAAAGATTCAACTAGAGGAATGTAAATAAAAATAAGTTATGAGATTGGGTACCTAATAGCAAAAACTCAAATTCAATATTAATTTGGATAGACTGCATTGTTTATGCCACTTTAACTAAGGTGACCAGTGTGGCGTTCTACTTGGCTGTGGTTCAATTTTTTTCTGCTCAATTCAAATTGCAATTTGTCCCAGAGAAACCAAGAACGATTGGAAAAAAATGAGTTAAAAAAAGAACAGAGTTGTACTAGGTTACTACAGTTCAAACTATGATCACAGTGGAAAATATGATACTCTATAAAATACTATTGTGAAGTTAAGAAGGAAGAACAATATTATCATAAGGATATTAGTAAGTGGTGACAGAGGAATAGCTTAATTAGAAAAATATTAATCCCATCGAAGAAACAATATAGCAATGCCTATTGCCTACCATATTGGAGTAGTTTATTGATACTGATGTATTTAATAAGAAGTAACTAAGGCAACTGCCAGAATAATTTGTCAAAAAAGGAGTTGATATTTCAAAACAAAATAAGTTCAGTACATTTACAACATATAAATCTTTTGCACCTTTTGACCTGTGTTGATTAGATATAAACAAAAAATGGCAATATGACCAAAAATAAAAGAAATCCATACACTTTGAAGAGAAATGAAAGAAGAACTAATTAGATTAATGCACATTGCACATATTTCAGAATATACATAAATAGATTGATTTTTAGGGTTTATAGCAGTATAACAAACGCAACTTGATGCTTCAATATTTAGTGAATTTTCAACCGTTTTCCCAAATGAAAAAAAATTTGCACTCAACCCCAAAAGAATATTCACAAAATAAAATAAACAAACAAAAATATATATGAACTGAAAACAGTGGAATAGCAATACAGAATTAAACACAGTGGTAGATGAACATTCATCTGCAACTTCTCCCAGCCAAAATTGAATTACAAGGTTTTTCTGAAAATTTATAGATCAAATACTAAGTACGTTTCATAGAATAACCTCTATTGTACCTGTAAATGGGAGCAAGAGATGAATGTGCGGCAGGAGCCACCGGTGCAACCATGCAGCCATATTGTGCCTGGTATTGCTGAAGTGATGCCGAGTCTTCAGTCATCTGTGGAGGAACTGGGGACGCGATTGGAGTGTTCCCAGTGCTGTTTAAAGCCATTTGATGTTGCACAGCTGAACTTGCTTTCGCACTTTCCTGAGTTGCTTTACGATCTTCATCATGCAATCTAAAATACCATAACGTCAGTCTTTCAAGTGATAAAAACTTCCCAACAATACTACTGAGTACTGATTAAAGGAATATGATGGAGTAAACTAAAGTACAGACTGTAGAATCATAATTTGAATTTCATGTATATGAATACAGTAAAATACTATCATAAATATGCTTGTGCCTACAGCAAAATTGAGCATTGTTTTCAGTTAATAAAATTCTTGCTTCATATGGTACCTTAATAGTATTTCAATGCATGGAACAAGATGCGACCATGTAAAATTGCTCTGTCTCCTCATTTCCGAAGTCCATGTTGGTGATATATGAAGACAAATTCTTGCTGATGCAAGACAAGCAGCAGTGATTAGTGATGGCTTGAACACGAGAAATGCAGGATCTAAAGGTAAAATAAGATATCTGAGACCACTAACTTTAGTGTTATAGTAAACCTTACTAGCATGCAGTGACAAAAGGGCTAAAATCTAGTGTCAAATTTTATCCATTCATGTTGAATGTTTATGCAATCAATTAGAAGGGTTCGACCGTGGGAATAAGGAATAATCAGGTATTAAATACAAAAATTGAAAATGACATTGCACCCATAAAATTAAAATAAATATGCAATGGACGTTAGGCTGGAGAAATGTCTTTATATTCCAGTGTTAGGAAAATTATTAGCATACCAAATAAATCCATACATATACGATTGGTGTAGCAAGTTAAGACTAGTTTGTTAAATGTGTTGTGATAGATGAAAGCCAAGGAAAGCCATTAGGTTCAGTTAAAAAAATACTGAGAATCTAAAACCTGCAAGCATGCAACATCATCTTAAAAATAGCTGCAACTATGTGGGACAGATCTTTGATACAAAACATGTTATTTGTAGTAAGCTTGATGCAAGAGGCCATATCTCCAATCAAAAAAAAAGAGATAGCGTGTTGGCCTAGCGGCTACAGGCCCGCTCAACTCAAATCACCACGAGGGCCGCAAGCATAAATCTGAAGGCCCAGTGGGCCGCAAACTTTGCCAAATACATATTTCACGAGATGAACTACAAATCAAAATAATATTGTGAAACAGTTAAATTTAATGAAACACTTTCATTACTGGGGAGCTTAAAAATATGAAGAATCTTATTTTCTTGAGTGAAACCAAGGTACAGGATTTTTGCATATGAGATGGCAAATATGTATTTAGTGCTTCATCTACCTTGAAAACCCACCCTTCATTTTCAATATTTCTTTTTTATTAGAATTAGGTATTGCGTGTTGCAGTATAAACTGACTGCATGAAAATGTTGTGCAGGCCTGGCCTAGCGGTTAAACAATTGAACAAATACTATGTATTGGCTGTTCAAAACCCAGGGCAATATAAATTGGATAGGCATACTGAACAGGACATTTGTCAGTCTTTTCAAAAACACTAGCTCCCTTCCCATCTGTTCTCTTAAATAATAAGGAATTCTCTTCACACTAAAATAATCCAATTTTACTAAATAAAGCAGCAAACATATTGCTTTGCAAGCAACTCAACATGGGCCTATTTGCAAGATCAAATCCAGGTCTATATAACATATGACTGAAGCTGTTAAAATTTTACCTTGTAAGGAAACTTCAAGAAAATAGTTGACATTCTTCTCCATGTAAATGTAGGCTTCTTCACGATTTACTAATGGTCGTCCAACATGTAAATCATGCGATCCCAATGCAACCTTAAAGAAAACGATTAGAAAAATTAATAACGCAGCTGAATAAATATTTTTAAATACGGTAACTACAATATCAAATCAAGTACCTGCATATAGAAATCTTTATAATGAGATGCAGTGGAGAATCCTATATTCCAACCAAATGCTGAAAGTATTCTTAATTCCATATGCAAATAATCAGAAGCCTGTGAATATAACAATTAGTGTAATTAATCATTTGAAAAGTTCAATTACATAAAGCTTTGGGTAGATATGTATTTCAGAGTCTTTTCCGGTATCTCATTTTGATTTTACGATTTCTGAGTTGATCCCCCAATATACCACTGATAATAGATTCCATATTTGGCAGCAATACAAGAAATTTTATTAACGGTAATAAATTTTTTGACTCATTTTTCATTATACAGTTATTAACTGAATCTTTGGAGGAAAAAAACACAAGCTTTTACAAATAAAATTAATCTGGAATTTTAATTGAATGATTGAATTATTAAATGATGAACTATTTGAATTTCCCTAGCTTGCTCGGACAAGAAATATGAATGAGATTCTATGAAATAAATCATTGTTTACAGTTGTCATTGCTGGATGGGAAGAGTCAAATTGAACTCTTTCATTAGGGCTCACTTGAATCTGCACATGCCATGGTTTTGATACTGTTTTATATAAAATTGTTAATTGCTTTTGTAGCCGTAATGAATTTATTTCGAGACAGCATGTTAATTCCCCCTTAAAAAGCTTATTCAGTAATTTGTAATATCATCATCATCTGGGTTACAACTATAGACCAATGAAATTCATTCACTTTATTGGTAATCAAATTCACAATTGACTTACATTAGCTTTAGATGTCCTAGGTAAATTACTGAACCAACTTATTAAATCACCACAGTGAACACCACTTTGAAAACCAGTTCAAATTGTTGACTAATTTTATAAAAATAATTCTATATGTATATCCTATTATTACAGGTAAATACTGTATCATTATTGCTGTTTTGGATGCCACTTTACATTTATGTATTGAAATATTGAACCGGGAAACACTGATTCCAAATCAGATACAGTACAATACAGATACAATACCTTCAATTGCCATTGTAAGCCTTCCATCAAAAGTTTAAACTTAGGTATTTTTTCTTCTCTTTCTTCAAATTTGCCTACAATTAAAGAGAAATGAAATTAGTTCAAGTTTCCAATTATAAATTCTGATAACCTCATCAACTAACATAATTCCTAATCATAAAATCTTTGCGTTCATCATTGATGAGAAAGATATGCGAGCAACTGACTAGTGAAGGTGATGTGTGTATGCTTGTTTCTGGAAGAAAGCTGTGAACAACAGCAGTTACAGGAACACAAGCAAACTAGTAATAGCAAAAAGTAAATCAATAATACATAAGCTAAATTTATAAACTAATTTTTTTTATATTGCAGTCAGTTAAAGAATTTGAAAAAACCTTGATTTTCCTGTATTTGAAACAAATTACAAAAAGGTGATGGCACATAAAAAGCAAAAGGTATCAACTGCTGCAAATTCATTAATATATGTATGTATCTATAACTTCCTAATATGTAAGCATAGCAACTCACTAGCAATTAAGAGACAGCAAACAACAAGAACTTTTAAATCATCAACAGAAACTGTGTAGAGGTCAGTAAAGCGATCGTACAAGGTCACTGCCAGATGCTGCGCATTTCCATTCAGTCGAAACTTCTGACACGTGAGAGCCAACCAATCAACCAAATATCTTCTCAGATACATCAGTGGAGAATTACCCTGAAGTCCACATATCAAATTTTCCTGAAAGCAAAAAATATTTTTAGTTGAGAAAGTAGTCAACCAAGTCTGAAAGGGCATAATGATATCTCATATAAGCAATATTACAGTATTATGAGCAGGATCAATTTGCAAACAATAGGTTTGTGACTATATGAGAATTGAGATCGCTAATTGCCTGAAGGTTAAAATCGAATGTCCAAGTACAGTAAGTAGCACGTACAGCCTTAGGAATCTGAAGACAGACAATTGCACTACATTGTCTAGTTCAATAGTTGTTGCCTACACATCCTATAACATACATTATTTTTAATTTCAGGCTACATTCAGACATTGCAATATTAGGCTAAGAGTGAACCTATTATTGCATATCAACGATTCTCGTACTGGTACCGGTACCGTATAAAAATTATACCACCTTCAATTTCAAAGTGTCATGAATGTCTTTAGCAAGATCGCCATTCCACCATTCGTCCTTACGCCATTCCATTTTTCCCTAGCAGGTTGTGCCAGTGCTGAAACGAATTTAGTGGAGAGTAGCACAAACAGCCCAAACACAAGACTTTGCGACTGACTTCCCAACTAATAACAAAAATTTAATCACGTCAAATGCGTTCGAGACGCAACAAAGTAAGATCCGCGATCACCAAATTAGCAGTTCTGATTGTTCGCAGAACGCAACAAACGCTTAAAAAGAATTGGGTAAATTTAACTTCAATTTAAGTTTCAAAACGTAAATACTTGCGGACGCATAATTCAACCGCAGGGTTTAACTACCAACTACAAAGTGATCTTATGGGTATCATCTTTTCTCTCGTGTTTCAGCTAAATTGGTGTGAACCGAGTTTCGGTCACGCAAAATTGAAAGTGATAACTTACGACTTTCGAGTAAACACACGTCTTTTGTGCAGCGTTAAAATTTCAACAATTTACATCTCGGCATGAGTTACCTTTTGCAACTTTTTACAATCATGCCGATCATTATTACTTTCTTAAAAACTCAATTCTCTCAAAATATACTTATACTTGCTTCTTTCGCTATCTCTTTCGATACAGGGGAAGCCCCTAACCGGTGACAGATTTCCCCATTGCCGGAATTCCCCCTGTCTCGAAGCATTGATACCGTGTGCCCGCTCCTATCAGTCTCCAAACTAACTGGGATGTGTCTCAACTTATAGAATTGTTATTTTTTTTTTATACTGACATACCAGTAACTTGCATTGCACACACCAGACTGGTGGGTACAGGATACTAAGATAGACTATGTTTAACTAGTCAAGCAGTCAGGAGTGTATTCATGAGCATCGATGAAAAATTAAATATCTGAATATTCAGTTGTTAGTGAATAAGACATTAACCAATAAAAGCTTAGAAACTTTCTAGTAAGCTTAGAAAGTATGCTTAGAAAATTATTCTTGGCTATAAATATAGATGTAAAATATATTATAAATGCAAAATATCACTCATTTTTTAAATTTGTATCCATAAGGTAGGTTTAATGAAATTTGGTCTCTAATGTCGGAACTGAATGTGAACTCTGAACCAGCAATTGCTTAGATCTATATACCGATATATGGATGTTGGATGTAGCCATTTCCACCAGGACATTCCACTTCTGCTGGGTTACTATTTCATAGTGTCATAACAGAGTATTATGTGCTTTATGTGGCTTATGTAGTTGTTCACTAAGCCGAAATTATGTCATTTCCAGTTTTTATTGTGTATTGACTTTTTATAACTTTTATACATTAATTTCACTGTTGCGTGTGTTGGTTCATTCATTCAAATGGTTAGAATTGGAATTCTTTTTCAAACCAAATTTATCGTATTTCTGTATATCTTTCTTTTCCAAAATTTTAAATGATATGCTGTTATTAATAACAGAATGAAGGATTGAAATAAATAAATAATGACAATGCAAAGTGCAACAGACATTGTTAAAGCCGCTGAAGAAGGAGAGATACGTTTGGTGGAGACGCTTCTGAAAATGTATCCATCTCAGGTATTGGATTACATATGACTAGAATATACATTTTGAAACCATGGCTCGTATTAAATTAATTTCAAATCATTACTAGGTTGATATTCTTCATATGGGACACACAGCTTTACATGCAGCTGCACGCAGTGGAAATGTTGATGTTATGAAGACATTGATTCATCATAATCCAAAACCAGATCTTGATTTCCCCGATTCGAGAGACTGCACACCATTGCATTACGCTGTGAAAGGGTAATTATTTGTTGTTTTCCAATAGTCGTGTATTTGTGTATGGGAACAGTTTTCTAATTTTTGACGTATATCAGGGTTCGCTAATACTTTGACTAGGTGAATTGATTGATATATATATTTTCAAGTTTTCAAGATCATTGTGCTAAGCATTAAACACATTCTAACCATCAGACCATCGATTACCCTGCACTGGTTTAGATCTAGTGAGGAATTATTATATCACAGAAGAATGCTGGATTCTTTGCTGTCGCTAGTCAATTGAGAGTTCCTCCAACATCAAGTCCATATATCTGAAATGAATACTTGTCTAACTATTTCCAAAACAGGCATGAACTGGTAATAAGATCATATTTTGTCATATAAGCGTGTCTTATCAGCTTTTCCCTCTCTTGCAATGAACGTGAAATCTGAATATTATTTTATTTTTACTTAGAAATCAACCAGATGCAGTGTTACTGCTAATAAAAGCCGGTGCAAATTTGAAAGAAGAAGATGATTGTGGACAAACTCCACCTGATATTGCTTTCAATCAAAAGATTAAAGAATGCGTAAAAATTTTCATAGATGAAGGAGTCACATTCAAGGTGAATATATTATTCCTTGACAAAAGAGACATAGATGTGTATTTTTATAAATGCAAATTGGTGGCAGATTTCTGTAACTTTTGTTTTTTATTTTGCATCACTAGTCAATAGTTTCAACTTTTCAAAATAATACCTGTACACATAGCCATAAGCAAGAATGTGGTAAAAATGCTGGAAAGGAAGAAGAGGAACCTGTACAATCTAAATCAAAGGTAAACAATTCAAATTATCTCATTTAAGCTGTGGTGTGTTGTTGAGTGATGTGCTTAACTATCAATTACGTACATTTCTTTATAATAATGTATGTCTGGAACATTGTACATGCTATCTAGTATGGTAGAGATGAGGAAAATGTGGTTATTGAGCATTGTCATAGCTACCAGGCATGCTTTTGAAGGTGCTGAGCGATAAAGACATTTATTTAAATTAATAATATGCTCTACGATGTTGTCTTCTTATTTTTCAGGACCTCTGTATGCATTGTGGAGAGCGGGATAAATTTGTTAAATTTGAACCATGCGGCTGCATTGTTTTATGTTTTGGTAAGTTTTGAATATTTTTTTAATCAAAATTTGATACCAGTTCTGATTTTTGAGATATTTTTCAATGAAGTCAATCATAGTTCAAATTAAGATTTTTCAATGACGAATTTCCTTGTAGATAAAGGAAGTATACAAGTTTCAAGCACATTTTCGTCATTTTACAAGATCATCTAAAACCTGGGCTCTGGTGATTTATCAAAAATAAAGCTGAAAGGATTTACAATATATATTATTTGTTTCACAGAATGTTCATTCATCAATGCAGCATGCATGAACTGTGGAGAGCCCATTGAAAAATACACTTACACAGAAACCTCCGCAGCAAATAATTTAATAAAATATATCGGATATACAAGAAAAGAGGTAAGAACTGTTTTCATCATATGGGGTAGGGCCTAAAAAAATATCCTTTTTTCCCCAAAAAAACGACAAGAAAAGACCATATTAAATTTTCAGTAGCTTATAATTATGCTTAAAAATGCATTTGAATGCCATTTTGTATGAACTATTTTTAAAAATAAAGTCTTCAAGATTGCCTCTTCCAGTTACAATATATTGCTGGAAGAGTATCCTTAAATTTCCCATAACCATAAGAGTCAATTTTTGTGAATCATTGTTTTGCAAATGACAGCTTTCAGTTAGTTCATCAATGCACACCTCACCCTTAATATAACCCCACAGAAAAAAATGAAAAGGTGAAAGGTCAGGTGTACATAAAGGGCAATCCGATATTGCCATGCGAAAAAAAAAAATGAAATACATTGGAACATACATCTATTGTTTGTTTGCCATATGGGCAATTATTTAGATTATTTGCATCATAAATTAAAGTCAAAATTGCATTTTAACTTTGTACATATGCAAAGTTTTCAATAGACTTTTGTTCTAGTTCAAAATAGCAGTGTTAGCGCTTTTTTTTTGAAAATTTTTCACGTCTGTAAATATCCTTAGTAAATATGTTGTACTTTACTTCTAACACGAACTACAGCCAATCATGATTGCAAATCATATTTTCTTGTTACAGATTCCCAGATTGAATAGTCTACATACATGTCACATTTGTGAAGATGCTCCTATAGATGGTGTTTTGAACTGTGGACATTTAATGTGCATTCAATGCATGAAAAAACATAAAACTGAAAAAACAGGCGAACATAATCCCAGGCCACCTTGGATTTGTCCTTATTGTGTCAAGTCATCAAGATATACGAGGTTGCATGCAAACTGGCTAAACTGATCTAAATGCCAATATTTCATAAGTTATGTTCTAATATATTATGCAACATGGTTTACAATTAGAAACGAAGCAATTGATGAAAGAAACAATCACTAAATACTGTTGTTTTGTATCTTTCGATTCATTTAATTTGTTAACAATCTTTCAGAAAGAGGTTTCTCAGATTACCAATTAGATTGTAAAATGAAGTGTAAATTAATATTCCTAAACCATCGATACTGACATGAGATACCAATTTGTTATAAATATATGATTTCATTTGCAATGTCATTTCCAGGGGTTTGAATTCAAACTTTTCTGAATTGTACTCAAACTTGAAATGTACGTTGTTCTTTCTTTCAACTAATAGTGTTATAACTGTATATTTAGTATTCAACGATTTATAAAGTAGTTTTTTTATTATTAATAGTGCTTTCGTTAGTTATACTTTAGTTATAAGTAAATCATTCATTACTGCCTGCCAATTCTTTTCTGGCAAAACTACTGGCATGGAGGCTACTGATCTTGTTTCTGCAGCTAAGGATGGGGATTTACTTAAAGTTGAACAGATTCTGAAGTTTTATCCGACCCAGGTATATACAGTAAGGTGACATTAGAAGAGTTTAGTTCAAATCTCAAAATGTCTCAATTTCATTAATAAACACACAAAGTTATTCTCTGCTTTACCTAGTGTCAGGTATTGCATCTATTTTACATGCTTGTTTACTTGTTGCTCTAACTTGAATTTCCAATGTGCTTTACGTCGACATTGTAATCACACGATACTTTATTTATCTAAAGGTGGATATTCGACAAAATGGACATACAGCACTTCATGCAGCCGCTCGTGGTGGACACCTTGAAGTTATAAAGACATTAGTTAATCACAGTCCCAAACCTGATCTTGATTTTCCTGATTCGAAAGACAGTACACCATTGCATTATGCTGTAAAAGCGTAAGATTATGTTGATATCTTTATTTTTTAAATGTAATTCAATGAGAAGAACACAAAGTTGTTCTGAGTTTTCATGTTTATCACATGTATATTTAAAAAAAACGAACAATCTGTAATTAATTTGAAAACTGGACGAAACAGATAAATAACTAGAAGATGAATCACGAGAACAAGATGTATTCATGGGATGATATAGTTTTGATTACTTGATAAGTTGAATATTTGAGTACAATTCATGGTACTCCCATATATGTGAACCAAGATGGCGGACACCGAAACGTAGTATGTGTACCAGGTTTGGGTTAGGCCATAATTTTATTCCAATTTTCCTTATTTTAGGTCATAACGAGTTCGGAGACTAGCCAAGTGACTCCCATAGTATTTGTGCCAGGAATTATGGCTTAACGCTATACACATACTACATTCCGGTGTCCGCCATCTTGGTTCACATACTTCAGGAGTACCCAATTCATTGACTTCGCTAATATTATAGCAATTATTCACATATATTCACTAATTTCACTTTCATTTTCAATATATATTGAGTTGCTGTTTGGTCATTAATTAATTATGACTTATTTTATATACATGAATGTTTATAATAAAGGTGTTGTTATAAAGTATATACTATTCTAAACTTTTATTTAGAGATAAAGCTGAGGCAGTTTTATTACTTCTAAATATTGGTGCGAACCCAGATGAAGAAGACAGTGATGGTAAAACACCGTATGATATTGCTTGTAAAAGAAATTATGAAGATTGTATCAGTGCATTCAGAGAAAGAGGAAATAAAGTACTTTCACATTTTTCACTTTGTGTATTAATTTATTGGATTTCATATTAAATCAATGTGATCAAGTTATCAATGGGTTTTATACAGTTTATTGCCATTAATAAGAGTGAAAACTTCACAGTAAAATTGAAATAACAGAGTCAATCAACAACTAAAGACTTAATGCTTTACTATTCACTACTTTCGATATTGTATTTAGCCTGCACCAAAGAATGACGGCACGAGTAGTGATGATGAAGAGATGGATAAACCAACTAGTAGTGCAGATTCTGCAATTCCCCAACGCGTAAGTGTTCTGGATAAGCGTTTTCGACTTTAGTTTTTGTAACAATTTCCAGTTGTCAATTTTCGACAATGTGAGAATGCAAGTATTAGAAAAAATTGTTTGAATTCTATTGATTAATAATATATAGGGCTGGGCATTTGAATCGAATATTCGAATCGAATTGTAAATTATTCAAATTGGTCCAGAGCAAAATGGCCGGGGTATATTCTTCAATTTTTTTTATTGAAACCATATTTTTTCAATGCAATTCTGACATATGACTATTTCCTGTAGTGAGTTATTGATAAAACGTGTTTCTTATTGTGTGTGAACGCTCAGCAATCTGTCTGAGTGATTTATTCTATGTTTTCAGTAATTCATTTGTTGACAGGACCAATTACAATAAAAAGTCCCATACAACTACATATATCTCAAGTATTCGAGATTCGATCCAAAAAAAATATTCGATTCTGAAATCATCAGGTATTCAAAAAGCCCTAATAATATGTTATTTGATAATATTGTTAATAAAAAATTGTGTATTAGGAAAATTATAGTAGTACACCTTTGTTTGCAGAAATGTTGTAAATATTGCAAAGAAAACAGCAGGTTTATAAAGTTTGAGCCATGTGGATGCGTTATATCTTGTTTTGGTAAGTAAAATTTGGTAAGTAAAAACGAGCCTTAAGAACTAGTTAGATGGAACTGCAGTTTTGATGGAATAATACAGCGTGGTTGGGTGTTTTATACCGGTACCGGTATATATAAATCTTATACCTAAAACAATAGCATATTTGATGATTAATTTCCTTCATTATGTATTAATAATTATCGATTATTCTTTATTACTCTGTCATGTTGTTTTCTCTGCGCTCATCTGAGCATTACGTTAATAAGCTAAACTGACTCCTATAATCAGTAATCTCCTTACTCTCTTGATTTTATTTTGCCAAATTTTATTCCCATTTTTGTTAAAGAATAATTAGTTGATTTTATTTGACGTCATCTGCTGTTGAACTCAGCAAACACGGTGTCGCTGACACGATGACTCTGGTAGTCTTTCGCGGCCCCGCGTCAATTGCGGAAATATTGTGTGCCTTTCTATTTCAATTGATCTTTTTGTTAGCATTTTTTTTTTCTTATTACTTGTGTCTCTACAATATTTCATGCACGACGGAAATAAAATATCTGAATCTGAATCTCGAATCTAATGAGGAAGCTAGTATCACAATATGGACATTACCACTGAAGTACACCTTTGAGGTATTAGTGATGACTGGAATTTGAATTGACTTAATAACTGCCTAAAAATTTGAATCCCATGACAGCACTCATCTTTCTTTTTTTAACCAATGGCTCCTTAATAATGTCACATTTCATCAGGACTATTCAACAATTTTTTTCTCCAGACTGTTTAAAAATTGCTGTCGTTGTTTGTCTTTTAAATTCAGATTTGGAATAGTATTGCCCCATTATTCTCCTGTTAATTATGAGCAAGCAAATGTATTTTCAATCAATGTGAAAAATCTAAGTCAGTTGCTTCTGTTTCAAATTCTTTTGAAAAAGTTTGGCAAACCTGGCTGCTTCACGGAATTTGATCCTTTGTTACACTTGATCAAAATTTTGTTATAATTCAATCATTTCTCTCTGATCATAAGATTGAAGTCGTTTAAAACTATTCTTTTTTATAAAGAATGTTCCATGAGAGACCATAAATGCAGATGTGAAAAGTTTATTGAACAACGTTCATTCGATAAAACAACTGAATCAGCGAAATATGCAGAGGAAATTAAATCAATGAGAAAAAGGCTTGAGCAACTAGAGCATTATGTGAGTTTTATGTCAAATTGGTACTCTTGCTTGAAAAAAATTTGTTAGCACTTGAAACGCCTGGCTAATATTTTTTTGCTCTTTAAAAACAGGTTGAACAATTGGAAGACCAGAAAATCTGCAAAATATGTAGGTATAATCCAGTTAACTGCGCTCTGGGATGTGGACACTTGTTTTGTAAGTCTTGTATAAGAAAAACAAAAGACTCAGAGACAAGTTTTCCAGAGCAACTTTGGATTTGTGCTAAATGCAGAACACCTTCCAGATATACCAAAATTTACCCTGAGTGGTAATTGGAAGTGGGCAAACTGTGAGATATAAACAGATCGATGATGTAATAATATACTGACCTAATTTATAATTTAATACTATTTTATATATTTTGCACTTGATTAATCGTCTTTAGTAACACTCACTAAATTCCAACATATTGAGAGGATTTGGTTCTAATGAAGTTTACCTAGGTCAGTGTTTTACAAATTTTCTTGAACTGCTGAATACTTATTATATCATAAATTGTTTGTGGGACATGTTTCAGATCTTTCAGTAACCATCAAATTAACTAACAATTATCTTGTTCGGTTTTGACATAAAGAAGAAATTACGATAGGACCAATCGCTTGAGTTGAAAAAAAGAAGTAACAAATTCAAATTCAGGGCCAAAGTTGCTTGATATGATGAACGCTTGCTTAGATAAGTACATCTTCTATATCGACGGGGATTCAGGGAAGACACACTAGTAGGCCTAGTTCTTTTTTGACAAGTTCAAAATACACTTCAGAATGATAAAACATGCTGTATGCATTGGCAAACTGCCAACACCTGGTAAATCTTAACAGCTTACTGAATTTCCCTCTTACGATGGCATGAATCCTGGTCAAGTTTTCAAATTGAAGTCATGATTATTATTTTAAAATGTTTCCACGACCTCTGAACCTTGAAAAATTCCCCCTATTTTTTACCATTGACAAATAATTGAGTGTTTTTTCTCAGGGCTGACCTCCGCAACCGTTTAAAATTACCATTGGTTTTACTTCTAAAATATCATAGTAGCTGCCTGTAAAGAGTAGTGACTAGTGACATCTAATTTCAGCGAAGTCTGACCTAACTTTTTGTCGTTTTTGGATTACGGTAATTCAACTGAAATAAAGCCCCCAACATGACAGAGCATTGAGCAAATTTTCCTACAAAAAATGACCGCCAAGTTACTTTATTATTCAAGCTACCATAGTCGTGCAGCAGAGCTTGCTTAACACCAAGTACATGTAAAAGGTCTTTCACCGGTTGGAAATCACTGCTCTAGGCAACTTGAAAATTTTTGCATCTGTTTATTGAGACATAAAGTATTTGTAGCAAAAAAGAAAAGCAATTCAAAAGCAAAAATCCATTACAATAGGTAACAAAAATGTAGTTCTTTCATGAGGATCTTAAGCAGAGCTATTGAAACTTGCTCTTTTATGGATGTATAATTGAAAAACATTTCGAAACAGGAATGGGCTGCAGCATTCTGACAAATAGTTCTTGCCACTCTCCACTAGACTTTAAGCTCCACAAGGTGTTGATAAACAGAAATAAGACTTTTTTGGTACCGATTGTTGTAACAATATTTTTTAACGTACCATCCTAAAAAGTTACGGTAAGTCTTGTCACCTGGACAAGAATACGATAATTAGAATTTTTTTTCATCTGAGAAGGATAAGTGTACCTTTTAAGTTTGGATATATATTCATGTTATAAACGTGGGTAAATAAGCTAGCTAAATAAACAGCAGTAAATACAGTCAATTTTAATTGAATTGGCACATTTCGCAGCTCAATAAACATATGAATTGCACAAACAAAATTGCAAAAATTATTTTGACGGACAGGCTTGTGATTTGCACAAAAGATTGAAGGTAGATTGTAAACAAAATTGGTTTTTGAACAGTTGGCTTAGTATTAAGAAATTAGGGCTAAGGGTAAGTCAGGTGTCATGGGTGTTGCTGCTCGATAACCAGTATTGGTTTGTTATCATACCTTTCACCCAGAGATGCCGCTCTTTGTTCACGTTGGTGAAAAATAAAACTACGCGTAAGAGTATTTTGAAAAATTTAGGACGTGTGGAATGTTTGTGGGTCAATCTTAATGCCACAAACTCGCAATATAGTCAAAAATAGCTATTCACAGCTACTGTATTCCAGCATATGGTGTCAGGCTAATGATGTAATCACATATTGCTTTAAAGTAAAGAATAATTAAAACATTGGATATATCTCGGACATTAGCAGTAGTATGATTAAACAATAGTTCATCTAGTAATAATATAATAATAAATTAAATTTTATTTGTGGCGAATGCTCTTATTCTTGATCATGTCGATATTTATACAAAATATAAGAAACAATATACAACATAAAACACAAAGTTTTCCTCATATTATAAATCAAAATAATGATGTTAATTTGACAACATTAAAATATGGAACAAAAAAAATTTGTTTATTGAATGCAATATATTTTGACTAACTCCCATATCAGATTTTTCTGTAGCATCATTGTACACTTCATGTACATGGGACCATATTACAAGACTTATAATTTGTAAGTTCAACACACAGGAAGTACTCTCGCTTCAAAATGGTAATTTCACCAAACAACGATTTTTCATGCTTTTCTCAATAAGTGCGTCTGAATTACTTAGACATGTTTAACAATAGATTACAAAAATAAACCAAACGTAAATTTCTTAAGCATATTCAAAGTTTTTTTTTGTAACGTGGACTTCCCGACAACTTCATCAGTGATTTATTATTACTTCTCACTAAACTATTTCATTTCCACAATCTCGACCAACAAATCTTCGCCTTCCACATGTTCACCGGTCTTTGCCGCTATTTCTTTTACAACTCCGCTGATTGGTGACGTCACAGCCATTTCCATTTTCATGGCGGTAAGTACAAGAAGAGTTTGTCCCTTTTCAACTTCATCACCAACCTATGGATATAAAATAGTCAGAATAGCAGAAAATGAATTTAACATACCGGTAAATTGATATATTCAGAAATTTTCATCTCACCTCAACTTTAACTGACAAAACATCACCAGGCATGGGAGATCCAATTGATCCTTTCACTCCAGGTTTTGCTTTTGGATGGAAATGCATTTCCTGAAAATGTAAGATATTAAATGATACCAAGTTGTTATGATATTAAGTGATCAAGATTGAAGATTTTTTCTATCGGAATAAAATATATACAAATTTCAACACTATTGTAAATTCAATGAAACAAAGCAGTTTTGTTAGTGACTGAACAAAATAATTTGTTTTTGCTATGTTTTTACCTAAAAATAATAAATTTCTAGTCTTCAGATGTCACAAATAATGTTAGGTTTGCACAGATTGTTTTTGACCAACATAAATTGAATAAAAAAAAAATTGAAGTCAATATTTTTTCATGTGTACTGAAGTGTACAAACCTTCATTGCTTCTTTATCTTTGACCATGACTGATCTAACTTGGCCATTCAATTCAACAAACACTTCTCTCTCTCCAGTGTCTTCCTTCAAGTCACTCACAGCTAATGGCTTGAAATGTAATGTTTTTCCTAAAAAGACAAGAGCGGACAAAAAGGTTAAATCACTAGATCAAATTTATAGACCAGATAAAATGTGAAGGTTACCCCAACCATTTTTAGTCAAATTGGGATGAAAAACTTGCAATAATTCACCTTTTTCCAATTCTACAGTGAATTCTTCAGCAATTCTTGGTCCGATTAAAAAGTTTGGAGTGTCCAATTTGTTCACAGGACCAAACTTGTCGCGAAATCTCAAAAAGTCATCTGTTACCTGAAAATTCATCATTTCAATTATAACTATGAGCAGGACAATCAGACTACTTCTGAACATTCCATTTAGAGTAGACATTATGGGCTTCAAACGAATATATTGTTCAAATGAACAGAGAAATTATGACAAATTGAGGAGGATAATTTTATGTTTTTCTGAGATTTTTGTTTCAATATACTAATACAAATGTTACTCTTGCCTACTTTGGATTTTTTATGTTTATAATTAAAAGAAATCCAGTTAGATGACTTATACCAAGCCAGGCCGTTTACAAGATAATGTCACAGAGAATTGCATCTTGATTACCAAGCAAGGTAATCATTGGTGCGATGGTATATGCAGTGGTGGGATTCAGCCGGTTCGCACCGGTTCTATAGAACCGTCTCACGGAATTTTATGAGATCAGTGAACCGGTTAGCATTACTGAAAAAAATATGACTTTTTGTAACAGAACCGTCTGGAAAACATGACGTTTGTGATGGAACCGGCTGACAAAGAATTTGAATCCCACTACTGGGTATATGTTGTTCTTACACTTTTCGCAGCACTGTGAGACATATTATTGGGACACTACATGCATTTTCAATATTGGAGAAAGGCCTCTTACTGATGGATACATAGCAGCACTGAGAACATCTTCATCTGTAACATACGGTCCATGTTCTTCAATCAATTCTTCTTTTAATTTTAATAAATCAACGGATGGAAGATCTGCTCCTGGTCTTCCTTCAAACACTTTCCTGTCCTTGACAATCTGTTTCATAAAGAAACAAGAGAGCAACGCTTAATATAACATAAAGGAGAATAACGATAATAATTTAGCAAACCCATTGATAGGTTCACTTTGTCTCCAATAAAATAATGTTAAAAATTTACTGATCCAATTTCGACCAGTTTTAATTAGCAAAAAACAATAATTTGGGCTACAAAATTGAAGACGGAAAGTTAGACAATGATTACATCAATTGAGTGATTACTTTTTAAAGAATAAAAATCTATATATAAGCTGTATGTGCATATTATATACTACTCCGGCGGTCTCCCAAACTTTTTGTTCGTGCAGGGAAAAATTCACAGCGCACTCACATAAAAAAATTGCTACCTCAGAAAAAAACTCAATTTTGTGATTGTATGTCTTTTTAGTTTGTTCACACATAGGCCTAATAAATAAAACCAATGTCAAATCTTCTTCCTCATCTCCGCCGGAATTTTCATTTGAAACAGTCGAAAAAAGCACTCATGTTTGCTAAACTTGGCTCAGCAGATAAAGAAACTGCAACTATCTCCTCTACTCTGTGGCACACAGTTCATATCAACAAAAACAAATCACAAAATTGACAGGGACAACGTTAAATACATTTTATTGTCAATGTACCTGAGTTCTTATTGGTTCTGGGAAGCCTCCTGGTGGATAACCAATAGCACCACTCATCATTTCAATGACCGATGATGGAAGTGATAATTCATCGATCTTCTCTTTTACATCATCTGCACTCAACTTATTTTGAACCATAAATTGCGCCATATCACCAACCACCTTCGATGAAGGTGTTACCTAGAAAAATCGTAGTGAATTGTTGTTAGTGACATGTTGTAATAACTGTTGTCTATAATTTTGACAATCAAGATCAAAATAGCCTACAATTACCTACTGGTAATATGTAATGTAAGCAAGATTTTCTAATTTGAAGTACCTTTATCAAGTCCCCGAATAATTTGTTAGCTTCAATATACTTCTTCTTGACTTCTTTGAATTGACTTCCCAATCCCATACTGTGTGCTGCAAAAATTAATTTGTGGTTATCTCAAATAAGGCGTTAATTGGTTGTTATTAACTTAAGCGTTTTAGAAGTACATCAGCCTGAAAGTTCAAGACATTTGCTATTTTTGTTTGTTTATTCCTGGCCCAATTTTTTTTGTGTGTGCTGGTGAACGGGCACATGATAATTGTCCTGTTTTGAACTTTTTCAAAGGTTTTGCTTGCTCTCCAGAATTCTTCATTTTTACTTTGTGTGTATATTAAAATTTTTAAAATGAATCATTTATCTAGCTAATGGACAACAAAGCTTCACCTAAAAGTAAGGTTCAAATAAACATGCCGGTATTCAGAAAAATTCCAGCATGCTCAATTGAAGTTTTCAATAATACAATTGAACCTATCAACAATAAAATAGAAAAACCAAAATTCTAAAAACCTTGGAAATGTAGATTTGTATATTGCCCTCCTGGTATCTCATGTTCGTATACATCAGAATTGCCTGACTTCATAGTTACTGTACATTCGAATGGTGCGTATAACTCCCTTGTTCTCTCCCAATATTCATCGTATTCACCAATAACTGACATTGAAATTCCTGGCAACAAATATTCTCCGAATGTAAATAGAGTATTGGAAGATATTTCAGACTCGACGGTGTGGCACATCGTGCTAAGTGTTAGGAATACGCTCGCCACCGCACCTCTGATTACCATACATGGGTTCGCAGGTTCGAATCCCAAGTGGGGTTTATTATGTGCGAGAGGATTGCTGGACTACTCGCCGCCATAGGGTGGTTCACATAACCGACATGAGCTAGTAGCCGGACGATAGGCTGTGATTCGCCTAGGCTTGTACGTAATTTACGGATTTACGGAATTATTTCGAGTTACGGAAGCGAAGTTACGAATTACGTAAAGTCGTAATTATTTGTCGAGCGCTTTCGCGATTGAAACGAGCTTACTTCAAAGCAGTCAATTCCGTCAATTGAAAAAAATTAAAAGTTCAAGTAGAAGAAATTAAGAGTTCCGGTATTCGCAGATGTTTTTCTTTCTCTTGTTACGCAGATGGGGAAGGCATACCGCGTCATTTACTAACCTATTATCAACTTATCTAGCATGGCCAATGTACATATTAACCGTAGATAAGGGATAGAATTGTGTTGAGACCGATGGACGCCAACACACCTGGTTTCAACTTCTTCGGGTGAAATGACTAAAGAATGTAAGAGATCAACTTATAAAACATGGTCTATTTGTAAATGCCGTGATAATTAATGTCGCGCTTATCAAACAGCAATATAAAGACTGAAGAGAAATTGCGTAATGAACCAACGCAACTTAGTCTTTTCGGCATCGGTAAAGCGATTGAGACGGCAGAGAAACAACAATACGACGCGATTTCCCGTGTTTATTCTGCGCCAGATCCATTTTCTATTACAAAATCTTGATGTTCTTTTACCGATTTTATCGTTATATATCTGTCCGGACTTGGCATTGCTCAATATGTTTTTCACAATGCCTCGCAATATGTCGGCCAAATATGATTACCTGTCTTTACCAAATGCGGCAACTTATTTTGATTTATCGTCGACTCGAATACCACAGGCACTCGACCAAACTTGTGACAAATCTTGGCAAATAGGATTGTCGACTTGAGTTAGGAAAATAAATTAATATTTTCATGAGTGCAAGATAAATGTCACAAAATGCATTGTTTTGCGATATAACTTTGTATTTTCGGAGAAGGCATGTCATATAACTATAAGTACGGTATTTTAAATTATGCGCAAATAATTAATATTTGATCTAAATTTATCGCAAATAATGTTATAACATTTAGACCGCGAAATGATTTAATGTAAAATGAAGCATGGAAATCGGGATATCGTCAATAAGTCGGCATCATTAATTATTATAAAATGCTAACTAAGTAGTAAAGATAAATTTGAGTTGAGTTGGTCATTGTTGTAAACTGCTTGTCTGAGGAAGTCTGACTCTGGTCAGACGAAACGTTACAGAAATACATTTATGTTAGTGTGCAGCTGGACTTCAATTGGATATAAGTAGTAAAGTATTGTAAATAACCGTGAAATAACAAGTCTTCGTCGCGAGGCAAGCGAAAGTATAATCAAACGAGAGAATACGCTTGTAGTTGATTAATAAATTAGCAACCCGGAATTTTTATTTAATACGAAAGTCGTATTAATACGTTAATACAATTTAAAAAAAGTCAACTATCGTTTCATAAATATATTACCAGTGTTGGTAATGATAAAATTGATCGCATAAAATTTGGTGATAAAGTTGATAAAGGAAAATCAAAGTACAAAGAAATACAAAAGATAAAAATCAGAATAAAATTATTTTGAATTCACTCCTTGATATTTGTCTTCAACATCTGTCGCCGACGTGTAGTACTGCCGGGAATATGGAAACCAAACTTCGATGTCCCATTCGGAATAGAAGTGGAATAATTCGTTGAAAAAAATATCGCAATCACGGGGTCATTACGTAATCGATTTGGCCGTAATTACAGAATTGATTTTTGTCAATTACGTGCAAGCCTGCATTCGCCATATCATTAAGTCGTCAATAAATATGTAAATCTTATTCTATTCCTATCCTAACAGGTAAAACACAGATCAAGCATAAGATTGAAATCGAACAAAGACAAACAACAACAATGACAAAATAATTAAAAGTAAAAAGTAATTATAAAAAATGGCATAAAATGTGGATTCATTTGAAATAACTTTTATCACTTTTTCAAACAACTTACCAGTATCAAGTTGTGTTCTTTGCAATGACGATACAACAGCACCCATACTAGGTTGTGATGTCATACCTGACATTGAATCAACAGCAACATCAACAATATCTGCTCCTGCCTCAGCTGCTGCCAGCATGGATGCAACTCCTGAATAAAAGTCCTGGCGGTCATTTGGAGGTTATAACTATTTACATATGCTATGTAAGTTCACACTATATTTCTGTTAGATTGATAAGTCAACACTAGCTCTGGTAAGAATGCAAACTGCGGCAACTTAGCTAGGTTTCCAAAAATGAATATTTTGCAGAGATGCATTAAATGAGTAAAATGCTGAAATAACGTCATTATGATAAAAAAATGTTTATGTTTGTGAGTGAGTATATTACCTGCTCCAGATGTATCATGAGTATGTACATGAATAGGCATATCTGGGTATCTTTCTCTCAACTCACTAATTAATACTTTTGATGCTTGAGGTTTCAATAATCCAGCCATATCCTGAAACAAACAACAGTATTACCATGGGTTTGATCAACTGTATAGCCAATGGCCGTCTGAATGCACGAATGCTGCAATGAATATATGATTATTATGAAAATGTAATCTTGATTTTGTCCTACTTCGCTATCGCGAAATGGTCGTCTCAACTACTAATCTTCAAAACTACAAACCCATACCAACAACAGGGACCAAGAGTGTGTATATATCATACCATGTGGCAATAATTACTTTAATTCATAGAACATTATATAATAATAAAAAATTTGCAAAACACTGGTTTGGTTGAATAGTTCTTAAAAACATCATTTTTTTTACTATCACAATTCACAATTTCATACATCTGAATGAAAATTCATTTTCGTCTTATATCAGCATGGCACTACAGATTATAAATCATTTATATTCTATTATGATTGAATACAACATACAAATCATCATTTAGATACTAATATTTAAATTAAATTCGCTAATCATCATAATATGGTGAAAAGTTGAAAAAAACCTGATGCAATTTAGAAACCAAAAATATTGACATAAAAGCATACAAATTATGATACATTTAACTTCGGAAACACTACAGTAACGATATATATATGAAGACCACAATGAACAAATATTCTATGTGAAAATATGTGAAATTACTTTGTAGACGTAAAATATCCTCACCTTAATACATAAGATATGAGTTCCTGCTCGAACCAACTCATCTGCGAAATCTAAATAATACTTGAGATCATATTTTGTAACTCTGGTCTCGTCTGATACGTCACCCGTATACGATATTGCAGCTTCAACGACACCACCTGATTCTCCAGAAGCTTCAATTCCCAGAATCATGTTTGGCATATAGTTCATTGAATCAAAAACACGGAACACATCCATGCCATTGCGGTAGGCAGCATCACAAAATCTAATGGTTAGAATCGGAAATATAAAATATAGAAATTTAAACAGAAAATGCCTTATAATTTTAGGGTGCATATCACTATATGTTTTTTTAATATATACTTAGGCAGTGGCATTTAAACCAAATTAACATTTTCAATTCTACTCAAATGTAACGTCAGTAGAAAGATGACAGTCACAAGTTCACAACACTCACATGCGATCAAGCTTCCCGACACCATAAGGCACTACATGTAATATCAGTAAATGTGCGTGACAATTTGACATAAGCTTATTCCTATCAAAATGAACAGAAACAACAACTTGGTGAAAAGACATTCAATAAAAACCAGCCCTCAAACTATTCTTGTTGCGATTTCAGGTCGAGAGTTTCAAAATAACTCAATAATTAAAACAGATGACTGAAAAAGAAAAGCATTTATTGTTTGTTAAAAATGACACATACTTCTTCACAACATTATCAGGATAACTTGTGTATCCAACAGCATTCGCACCTCTGAGAAGCATTTGAAAAGGAATGTTAGGAATTTGTTTCCTGAGTTCACGTAATCTCTCCCATGGACATTCATGCAAAAATCTCATTGCAACATCGAAAGTTGCACCTGAAAATAAAGTGACGTTTACAGAAACAAACATTAACGGAAAATTAAAAAAATTACAAGTTGGTTGAAAAAGTAGGCTGGAAGGCTGGTTCAAAATCACAGCGGCGCCAGAGCTTAAATTTTGAGTCCGAGCACTCTGAGGTGAGCTATAAGGGTTTCAAATTTCGAAATTCAACTTTTAAACATTCAAATAGATATTAGAAACTGGAATTTATAAAAAAAAAAATTATATGTTAGCATGAAGTATTAGAAAATTATAACTGTAGAAAAATTATTGGATGGTTAGGGGATGGATGGAGCCGCTAAAATTTTTGTTTGGTCATCTTGGCTAAGTTTCAGCTCGACCAAAAAGACACGACGCCATGGCTTCAGACTGATTGAAAGTTATCATAATCACAGCAAAATCTAATTCTGAATATTTTGACATATAACATAATTTTAATGCAATGAAAGAAAAGAACAGCAAACTTTAGGGATAAGAGAAATACACAATTTAAATATATTTGAAACATCTATTTTCCAGTATTTTGAAAATTTCATTTCCTTACAATTGGAAGAATATAGAAAAATAAAGCTACACACATACCTCCCCAATTTTCCACACTGAACAAATTGGAAAACTTATGTGAAACAAAAGGTGCGACCTTCACAAGGTCATGTGTACGAACACGAGTCGCAAGCAATGACTGATGAGCATCTCTCATAGTGGTGTCAGTCAAAAGAAGACCTTTATGTTCTCTTACTGCTTTTGCAAAAGCTTCGGGGCCATTCTCAATCAGAATATTTCGCCAGCCTCTGGGTGGATGTTTATCTATAAAAAAGATTCATATACGATTCTAATTCAATAAAGTTTTTACACCATAAATGAGAGGTGAATGAAAATTTATTCGGAAAACCAAATGACCTCAGTAATTTTTGGGCTCTCACAGCATTTATCATCAAGCTAATAATAATGCTTAAATTCCCTATCTTCTAATAAAACATGCAAACATACACAATGTTGATCTCAGCCAGAATAGCAACTGATACATATGCACTTACTTGTAGGATGTTGAGGTGCGGGTACATCAATATGGGGAGGTCTCAAACTTGTTGGTAGCGGAGTTGAAGGTCCGTTAACAAGCACATCAGCAAGATAATAAAGAAGTTTACCAGCACGATTTCGGCTTGGATCAAGCTTGAACAACTGAACAAAAGGATGAAAATTGTAAAAAAGGAAAGAATGGCAAAAAAAGGCAAAGCACACAATATAAAAATATCACAACTGAAATTTATAAATCACATATTTCAATATTAACCGTTGCAGCATAATGAACGCCATGACTATTTTGCTTTCGTGATACATATAAAGAGTTTCTAGGTATTTCTGATTTTGACATCAAAACTGTTTCACAACTTCTTTCTTTCTATAGGCATCGGAGTGTATATATTATAATGAAAAACACATACCTGCGGATTGTTGTCAATAAACTGAGTTGTAACTTTTCCTCTCAAAAATGTTTCATTGTTTATCACATTGAGAAGAAATCCTAGATTTGTCTGAAAAAATAATATCAATTAAAATATGCAGGCATCACTTGAATGGTGTAAAATCAATATTTATTAAATTAAAAACTATTGACAACAATACCAACCTTGACACCTCTTATCCTGAACTCTCTCAATGCTCTGTCCATTTTCTTTGCTGCTGCTGGCATGTCAGGTGCGTGGGCAATCACTTTAACGAGAAGAGAATCATAATGTGGAGAAATGATTGCACCAGCAAAGGCAGAAGCACTATCCAATCTTATTCCCATTCCCTCACCACTTCTGAACACCTGTAATGGAATAATCACTAGAAGTCAGCTAGTGTTCACCATCACATTACATGCAGTTGTCGTTCTTACGTAATGTTGTGTATCGTTTCTTCTAATTAGGAAAGTAAAAGTACTATGCAAATTATCTTTACCTCAATTCGTCCAGTGTCAGGCCTGAAATCAAACGCTGGATCTTCGGTAGTTACTCGGCATTGTATTGCACTTCCATTTATTTGTATTTTTTCTTGATTTATACCCAAATCAGGTAAAGAATATCCTTCTGCTAATCTGATCTGAGATTGAACCAAATCAACACTGAATAGAAAGAAATGAAGAATTGTTAATAAAGAACGTTGACAGTTTTACATATGAGATCCCAACAAAAATCAAGACCAGATGAAAGAGATCAAAAATCAGGCCTCAAATAAATCATCAAATTTCCAATTCATATTCCCAATTTTCGCAGATAGACTGATTATGAGCATTGAGAGAAAATTGGGTATAATATATATAGTATCTTAGATGAAGAATTAATAAAATATGACAATATGCCCAAGATACAGTAGATTTGTTTTAACAGCTGTATAAAGTTTCATATAAACTAACATTGTCAGCTTCAGCCATCTTAATATTGTGAATCCACTCAGGTCTGATCCATGAAACATAATTTTGTCAATGGAATGAGGACTATCCAACTTTCATTATATTTATAAATAATATTAGAGACATTCCAATCACAAAAAATTATCGAATAACAGGCAATATATTGCCGAAATTGCCAAGATGGTTCGAATCAACTTGTCTTACTTTGTGATTTCTTCTGTTATTGTATGCTCAACTTGAAGTCTTGAATTTACTTCAATAAAATAATGTCTTCCCTGAAAACATAATAATATTTTAGATAATTTGACAAGCTATCACGAGCCGTTAGATAGACATCAACAGTAAAGAATCAAATGGCTTCCGATAAAAAATCAAGAGAATGAATTGTAGACGATTGGAAGTTATATCTAAGATGTGTTTAAATAGCGTCTTGTATCATTTCAGAACCCCATTTTTTAAACATTTACTTGATTATCAAGCAAGAACTCCACTGTTCCAGCATTTTGGTATCCCACATGCCTTCCAATTCTTAAAGCATCATCTGCAAGCATTCGACGCAACGTAATTGGCAAGTTTCCTGCAGGAGCAATTTCAACAACTTTCTGATGTCGCCTCTGTATTGAACAATCCCTCTCATACAAGTGAACAAGGTTGCCATATTTATCACCTGTGAAGCAAAATTAGTGGAATTTTATATAAACAACATTATTTAAATCGTTTCTAATAATTTAATATTTCAATAAATTTGTAGCTGCGTCATTTTACATTGTTGTTGGAATCTTGTGCAGGTAAAACATAATTATCTAATGAATAAATTATGAAGGACAACAAACAGAATGCATGTAACATAATGCAGCACAGACAGAGGGATTCAATTTCAATTAACTTCAAATGACTGTCATGCAAATTATCATATTTTTGACTCAGAAAGTTTCAAATTTGAAATGACAATTGGCTAAAATGGTATTTGAAGAGATTCAAAATACATGAACGCTATAACAGAGAAATTAATTTGACATCAAATTTTTCTCTATGAAATTGAGCATATGTTGTTACTTAATATTAGATAAAATAAGTGCTAGTATACCTAAAATTTGAACTTCAATATGTCTTGGATCTTCCAGAAATTTTTCGATAAACATCGATCCATTTCCAAATGCCTTTTCTGCTTCTGATACTGCCCGTTCATAACTGTTTTTCAACTCCTAAGGAAAATAAAGGCAAAAAAACATGCTGAACAATTTTTGAAAATACAGAATAATGATGAAAGCTAAACCTGAAGTTATTTGCACCTCAAATAAATTGTACAATAAGGTAGGATACAATTAGTCTGAGTTTTAATAAGAGTTGAACAAAATATTCAGAATCTAAATACAATTAACCATTCAGTTTTAACATAGAAAATATGCATCATTTCAAAAATTGCACAATATTGGTTTAGTCTGGATGTTACCCCTTTTAACCTATTACAAAATGTTTACTCTCATACTGATGTGGTAATATTTATTTATGCTTCGCTAATATTTGCCAAAGTCTGCCACAGAGACTGGGTGTAACTCAACGAGATATTGATGACTTTCTAATTACTATCAGTTTTCGGGTCAAATGGGGTGAATAATTCAACTGAGTTTACGTGAACATGTTTACGCTAAATCATGCATGGCCATTTTACAAATTGGGAAACTTGTATTTGTACAATTAGGTTAAAGGGGATCGACTGTGACTATATGTACCCAGCTTGCATAATGACAATATATAACCATGACCATATATCGTAATATGTATTTAACAATTTAACAACCCGACGATTGCTGCATTGTGATTGGCTCTAGGACCCACTTGTCATCACACCCCTGGCTACCCTGGACGGGTTCAAATTCAATAGGGGATAATTATGTGAGAAGCCACGGATCACCATGCTGTAGTCATTCTATCTTCTCTCTTCACCTCATGATATTTATAAAATACTTACCTTTTCTTAAATGCTTTAAATAATGAACAGAATCGTGACTAACTACAATAGTATAAAATTTTAAAGAAGTAGTATATAAGCATCACATTCACTCACCTCCATTTTTTTAACCACTCTCATTCCTCTTCCACCACCACCATAAGCCGCTTTCAACATGAGAGGAAAACCATATTTTAATCCAAATTCCTCAGCTTCCTCTAAACTTGTTATTGGACCATCAGTACCAGGTATTACAGGGACACCTAGAAAATACAATTTTTTTTGTTTTCCACATTAGCTGTATTGAAGAACATGAAAGTGAAAGAATTGTATGTGCCAATTCGAAAAATATTACAAAAGTCAGAGAGCAGAACGCGCTGTTTCACCCAAGGGAGAAGGATAAAGGCTTTCACCCAAGGGAGAAGGATAAAGGCTTAGTCAGGGCTACGGCCACCTATATCACCATGAACACAGTGCAGGGTATTTCACTGTATTTTTCCACCGCTCTCTTAGGGATACTAGTAGACATATTTATTCATTTGACACAGCGGATTGAATAAAGCATGAAATTCTATTTTACGCCTGCCATATGAGAGTCTACAGAACATGTCAAGTTGCAAGGTTTATATAAACAGTGTATTTTAAATAATTTATGTCATGAAACCCTTTTCATTTATTTCAGCAAATCAGCCAGTAGGAAAACCTGTTACATTACATTAATGCAGCTCATGGTTTATATTTCTAATATATCTGGTGGTATACCTGCGGCAACTGCGATCTCCCTTGCTGCAACTTTATCTCCCATTGCCCGAACAACTTCTGGAGAAGGACCAATGAATTGGATTCCAGCATCATTACATGCTTGAGCAAAATCAGATCGCTCTGATAAAAATCCATATCCAGGATGAATCGCATCCACTCCAACAGACTGTTAATAATAATTATATGATGTTTTGATAAAAAAGAAAAATAGCAGCTGCTATTTAACTGAAAACAAGATATGTTACAGGTGACAACCTAATTAAGCTTGGTTGATGTCTACAAACCAAAGTTCGAAAACAAAATCATGTTCATTTCTACTTAAAATATAAAAATATTTAATAAAATTTTTCGAGTTGATAATACTGATAAAGCAGTATATCCTCTCACATAATAAAATAATATTAAACAATATCGCTGAGCATCGTTACAGTCAAGTATCTAACTAAACTTTCAAAGTAAAGATATTGAGTGAAATTATAAAAAATAATCAACATGAAGTCCCTCGTCTGGACTTTTTTAATATTCTGAATATCATCTATAATTACGGTATGCTAAGATTAAAATATGATCGAAATTCAATAATCACCTTAGCTACTTCAACTATCTCTGGGATGCAGAGATAGGCATCGACTGGAGGTAAACCTTTCCCAACACGATAAGATTCATCAGCCTTTTGTCTGTGCATCTGCTGTTTATCTTGTTCAGAATATATAGCAACTGTCGGAATTCCAAGTTCGGTGCATGCTCGGAAGACTCGAATGGCAATCTCACCCCTGTTTGCCACCATCACCTAAAATAACAATGATTCATATGAAAATATTATATATAAGCGATTCAATCAATTAAATTGAAACTTCACAATTCCACTTAAATATTCAAAGTCAGGAACATGCATATAAGTTAGCTAATTGTTCCTGACTTTGAACAATATATAGGCCCTATTGTTAATAAAGAACAATCTTACAAAAAAAGTATAATAATCTGAAAAATTATCTATATTCAAACGGAAAATTACGAAAGTAATACACATAGTTGCCTTAGATATTGGTTTTATATGTTCTTTGTCTGCAATATCGGGTGATGCAATGCTCGTTCCCAAACATCTTGTAACTTGTTGAGAATTCTAAAAATAAAAAAGTTAAGAAAATCTTAATTATTTTTGTAGCCAGCAATTAAAATACTGAGAAAGTGGGCATTGGACCATGCATAAAATATATTTAATTTCGTATCATGATATCTGGTTATTAAATTTTTGTATTATTTTATTGCAATACAAGCTCATCAAACAACTCAAAGCATGTATTGATGAATTTAATGCAGTAATTCTTGCATAATTTTAATTTTTTTACAAAATACTGAAATATAATGCAGTGATATTGCTAAATCAGTAAATGGAATTACAGAATTATATCTGTATATGCCAGTATGCAAATATAAACTAACCACGCCTGGAGGTAGAGCAGTCAGTCTGCATAAAATTGCATGGTTCGCGACCAATCCTTTAATCTTTGTTAATCTTGCAGCAATCATACTCATTTCAGTTGATCACACTGCAAAATTATAAACTTTCCAACTTTCAAATTTCCTGTCGACAGTTCATAAAAATATGCTACTGCTTTTTCCACTCCGATATCTACGACGTTTTCGACTGTTCGAGGATTAAGCAAACACAGGCCATTCACACTCGTAAAACTGAAAAAGAAAACGCTATCTTGAGTGTTAAAGTCCCATGAGGAAAAAGCATAAAATCAACTTCCACGCCGCGTTCACGTGTTCCCGGAGTTTCACGATCGCGTAATTTCCAAGTCATTTCCCGACTGCAGTGCGATTGATTATATTTTGTTTGAATGGGAGGCCTTTAACCATTCGACATGAACATTATAATTGAATCCGGCTCTTAGACTAAACTATCGCGTTTCATTTTAATTTATACAAAAACGAATGTCCCCGCCAGTGAAACGCCTAAGGTAATTTGATCCGCAGAGCACAAAATGAGGTATATGAATCAAATAATATAATGGGCTGTATCGTTAACGTTGCGACAGCAGGTAATTTAAACAAAGTAATGGCGTTATTTTTGAGTCGGCAGCGACGCCTAAATAGCGGAAAAGGATTAGGCGAGGTCGAAATGGACTTTGGACTTTGTACCGAAGGTTTTAGCGCTTTCTACTTGAATGCTTCTTCGCAATTCACAGCATTTTGTATTTGACTGTTGATGTCACTCTGTCGCTTGAAATCCTGGTTCGATCGGTTTTCATTATCAGCCGCTATTATTCTCCGTAGTGTCATCAGCTCTCTCTCTCCTCAGTGGTTGCCCATAGTTTCGCTCAGAGATTTTTGCTTTAAGCAAATTTTTCCACGGCGAAGAATAATCGCAAACCCATCCATGTTTCTGGAAGACTTAACTGATAAGATACAGGAGAATAATGAATGAATCCTTATTTGCCGCAATAACCGTGGTTCGGCGTATTACCGAACCGTCTTATATTCCTTCTGTAACAAATTAACCAATAATTTTGGAAATAATGATATCAAGACTAAAAATAATTCCTAAGTCATAAATATTGGAGAATATTCAATAACATTCTAAATATGATATTTCAACATAACGTGCGAAATAGCGAATAATTTCCCATGTGATATGTTGAATGACCGTGTTTTACATCAATAATCAGTGTAAGAACTGTCTCGAATAATCGAGAAAATTGTTTACCCCTTTAAATGCGATCTCAAACATACAAGCGATCATCATCCTTATCGTCGAATATCAATAATTCTGATGATCGCTACGCTACTGTTATGAATAATAACTTGAAAATGTAAGTTGGTATATTTGATTTAATTTATTGTAATATAATTATCGAAGGAAATAAAATCTATACAGGCAATTGTCTAGATCCTTGCTGTTATATCAAATTAACAGACGTCTCGACTTGAACAAGTAACAACCGATTATATATTCTGTTTGGAGTCAGATTAATATCTAACTAGTTTAATTAGCTTAATTAGCAACTGCAACAGAAGTCTTCTCACTTCTTATTCCTTTCATTATCGGATAAACTGGTTGCCTATATCTTATCTATATTCACATTTGTATCATCCATCATATTCAAACACGAAAATAAGTTTTCAGGCCAACCGAGCATACATTTTCGCATTGCCAATTTTATTCGTCTTAAAAGCTCACTAGTTGCTAAGTGAATCTTCTCAACTTAACCGGCAACTTTAAGTAATTTTTAAAATGAAAATAATGCCCGGCCCATTTCCATCAACCAATGAGCGTACGTAAACAAGTCGTGCCAGAGGGCGGCTACGTGAGCTAAGCCACGGGTTAGTCCGCTCAGAATTTCTGGTGAAATCTGGCTGTTTCCATTGGCTTGGAAGTGAAAAATCTGAACGCCCACGACAAGACTACTATTACAACGTGATATTTGAAGTGTACCCGAAAACATATACAAAATACGTTAAACCAGTAAACACCTAAGATTATATGTGAATCTACTGACAATAAAAACAACTCACAGTTGCACCCCCCGTATCTATATATCTATACACATATACAGTATATTTATAATTTGTCAATGCGAGTAGGCGTTATTTTATTAAACTAAAAGTTTACTAAATAAAGAACGACTATACTTATTTGTCAGAAATCTACACCAGACAAATTCATATTTATAAAAATGAAAAAATACTAATAAATAGAACATGCGTGCCAATTAGTACTATGATAATTGAATTGCGCATTTGTTAGTAAAACATCAGTATAATATTGTTAGACTGTTACTAATATCATATTTTGGGGGCACATAACAAGTGATATTCAAAATACCAAATCTTCCTTTCTGGTATTTGGGTGTCTTCATGCGAGGATTGGGTGCGCCATGCTTATATAGCCTTATCATTTTCCGTCAAATACTCGACTCAAGATCATCACAGTTCGTTGATTTAATCGTATTAAAGAAACTACTCGCCTTCCTAGCACAAGAGAACATATTTGTTGTTAATGGCTGTGTAGAAAAAGTTAGAAGATGAAGAAACTGTGATTCATATATATTATTTGAACTTTGTAACATCATTGAAGTAGTCACATAGCGATACAAGTTTTTTTTAATTCTGCATAATTTCTTCATGATTAATCGAAATGTACTGCAGGTATGTCAAATCGAATTGGACCTAGAGGAAAACGAAGTTACGTTTTAATAGTGTATTTCAGCTGAAAGTATGTATTTCAGCAGTTTGGTAATATATTGAAAATATGTACGCATTGGCGATGGAGAGCTTGCGCGCCCTCTGTTGGTAGATTGTGTCATAACTTTGGCTTTTGGCTGCGAAAGGCAGATGTCCTGCAACTCTGGTGGTAACAAGTCAATAAAAAGTCGTCATCGCAGCAAAGGTGAATTTCGTGGTTGCAGGTATAAAGGTAATAGTTTCGTCGCATTGGGTCATTGTATTTCCTATGTTTTTAATGAAGGCTTTCGCCGCACCGTTGAGCAGTCTTTCGGCAGTAATGATAATGACCGATCTTTGAAGGGTAGAGCCAGCGGTCACGAGGAGGATTGTTCTCTGGCTCAACGTGCAGTATTTGAACCTCGGCAAGAACATTTGATGTGGACCGAATGACACTAAAGCGATACATCGATAAAGAAAAACATGATCCCCTTGGTACAAGTGGATCCTAGAATTGCAAGCTCAAGATTATTATATTTAATTCTGAAATGGAATCTGAACTAGTTATTCACATCAAAACACTTGGAGCGATCTACCAGGGCCTATCCAAAGATAAATGCCGATGTTTAGCATTCGAGTTTGCAGAGAGTAACGGTGCCGATGTCACACGAAGCACAAGACGACTATAACGTCATTCATTTTTCAGGTTGTGTCGCGATGATAAAATCAATACAACATCAAGCTTGTCCAACAATAATAGTGACAGCATCGATGAAATTTGCAAAGACTGACGAACCATCTATGATAAATTTGAACTGACTTTAGTAATCGACACCCTTGTCTAAAATTCATGAATATAAAAGGGAGCCCCTTGCTTGAATCTTTAGGAACCTATATATTTCTATAACCTATTCTCCTACCTCATTACCATGCTGCCTTAATTAATCTTAATTATAATCACACTGGCTAATAATATTTGCTATAATCTGGACTCTAATTTGGCTATATTTGGGCTTTGGTGAGTGAAGTGGTCTAGCTAGCCCACTTATTCATGCATCTAACTTGGCAAGTACGATTGGGCAATTTGGCGTTAGCATACTCCAACCATAGCTTGCTAATATCTTTTTAGAAATATTTTTCTATACATTTCGGTCCTGTTAACTAATTCGGCATCCAACTTGGCAATTGTTACAAAATATGAATATAGTGTGGCAAAATTTATTTTCTGTTTTTTATTTTGTTTGTATATTTTTTTTACTAGGCAATATACGTAAATTATGTTTCTCTATTTTTCTCTCCTCTGAAATTTTATTTTGTCTGCGTGATTGTATGTATGTGTGTGTAATCAGTTGTGTTTATATTGTTTTTATCAATTGTTTTATCGTCTTTTATGCTGATTGTGGAGTCAAAATAAACTCAACAAGAACAAGAATACAAAATGACAAAACGATCCAAAGTTCATTTTGTGTCCGATAATGTTCAAGCAACATGCAAGAGATATAATGTTGTTGGATCGGTATTTTGGCTTGGTGGGGAGTATTTGCTTTTTGCTTGACATCTATTTATACGTTGACTGTGACCCCTAATGACGACATTTAGAAATACAGGAGTAAGTGACTATTTTTTGTCATTCTCAAAAATGAAGGAAATTTTAAACATTTCCCAAATTTATAGACTCAACTACTCATAGGTACATTTAGTATTCGATAATGTTTAAGTAACATGCAAGGGGTGTAATGTTGTTGGATCGTTATTTTGGATTGGTCGGGAGTATTTACTTTAACTTTTTTGTAACAACTCTTGTCTTCTTAAAAAGTTTAACTTGAGCTCTGTAGAATCATATCAACCCGAGCGACTTCAATTGCAGCAGTGATGGGTTTCAATGGTTTGGTATTACTCAGCAAAACACAGGTAGTGCATGTAGTTAGGTACCTTGTACTCAGTAGTGGGATTCAGCCGGTTCGCACCGGTTCTACAGAACCGTCTCACGGAATTTTATGAGATCAGCGAACCGGTTGGCATTATTGAAAAAAACATGACTTTTGTAACGGAACCGGCTGAAAAATATGACACTTGTGTGATGGAACCGGCTGACAAAAAATTTGAATCCCACCACTGCTTGTACTGTAGGTAATTATTAGCAAACTGGGCAGTTGGTAGTAATAGCCGTGACTATGCTGACATACTATGTTATGTTGTGTTAGTACAGGGATCACCAAACTACGGCCCGCGGGCCGGATCCGGCCCGCGACGTCATTTTATCCGGCCCGCGGCGTCATTTTATCCGGTCCGCAATAACACGCAAAAATGGCTAAATATTTTTCCAAGGAAGATTTTCACGAGCATCGTCGTCCTTGTTTATTTCGTAACATTGGCCAATCGGCAAGATGCAGAAAAGTGACGTAATAACACTTTTGTCACCCTAACAGATTTTCAGTCGTGGTTGAAAACAAAACTTCGTTTTTGCTACTTTGAATGCTACCAGTACGTAACGTTTTCTGCGATACACTTGTACACTCGTGGCGCTTGCTTTCGACGAAACTGTTTGTTTTTCGTGCTAAAATAAACGTCGAATGTGCATCTTGTGCTAACAGTACTGTAATCCCTCGCGTACTGCTCCAATTTCAAAAGCCACACTAACTTTTGTACTGCTTTAATGCGGATATTCATGTAGGTATGTTACAAAAAAATTGAAGTTCATCCGATTTAAATAAAAATAACGGAGATATCGGAATTTTAGTACCGCCCGACAGCCAATTTTTTCCATAATGATTGTATTACTTTTTTGATAAGAACTGTACTAAATATGGAAAAATAACACATATCAATCACTAATCTTTCGATGTGCGTCACATCTATGGTATATTGAGATAATTTCAGGATTTTATTCTGGCAACGGTCGTTGACACCGCCGAAAGATCGTCGCAAATAAACGCTGGAGTTGTACATGATAGTTTGACAGTGGTTCATTGTGGGTAATAATTAACGATGTTCTGATTGTACGAACTTCATAAAAATTGGTACGTATCAAGTTAGACAAGAAATACACACGTCCATATAAATTTTATTGGTGTCCATAGACAATATCAATAATTTGCACTATGTATAACTGGAGCGTAATTTTTAAAAGCGTCGAATGTTGGGAAATTTATGCGCATGAAATTCAAATACCAGATAATAGTTGTTTATTTTATTTAAATTATGTCAAAATTTCATAGAATTCCAAGCTACAGCAGGCAGTCGTTTTTATGAGCGATATTTCAACACGGCGTAACGGTACTTAGCAGACGTGATGCGTACCTTTTTTGTCGCGGATTTTGTAACATTTCTAATTCATGACAGCAAGTCAGCAACGTTTTGATAACAGCTAAACTCCTAGGATGTTTTCGATCTATATTCTGCGATATTCCCAACATTTGTGAATTTATTGTATTGCATTGACAAAAATATTCATCCGGCCCGTTTCAACACAATTTGAGTCATACCCGGCCCGCGGTCAAAAAAGTTTGCCGATCCCTGAAGTTAGTAGAACAAACAAATATAAAAGCAAAACAAATTGAATGTATGAGTCCAGAATTTTAATGTTAAGATTTTTCGATGCAGAGGCTAGTGTATTCATCTAGATTCTAATATATCTGCCTGGTGAAGTCTATATTTGTACATCATCTATTGTGGCCCGATCTCATTAGTCTCCAATATAATTTTGGTCCAGAAGAAACGGCTATAGATAGATATTTAAAGTATTTCTATGTGTTTGTTTGAGATATTATTGATTAAATTGTAGTCGATTAATGGTTGATATTATACGGAGCAACATGCTTTCGTCAACACTGCGTTCGTTATTAGTGAGTACGTTTTATAATTTATTATTACCAAAACCACTTTTGATATTGGAACTGAATAATGATTCAATTTTGCATTGCTACATTGCAAAATCTACACCGACATACTTTTCTGTGATAAACAAAATGTTAATTTGCATATTACGTTCCAAAGTTCGTTAGCTCTTCCTATTACATGCCAAATATCAATTTCTATCATAACAGTTCTGGAAGATTTTTGACCGTGTTATTTTCGACGTCAATATGGTGGTTGGAAATATAAAAATGCAAGTATAAACAAATTAACGGAATTTTTGTGGCAGAGATATGTAATTGACGGCGAAAGTGGAACATAACAAGACATAAGTCCATTTTTAACAGGTTGTTCACATCTCGATTACAGGCTAAAGAAATCTTCCATCGGACTGCTTTACGCTGTGTACATGTGACCTCAAAACATGCTTCCGAAGATGAGCCAAAGAAAAAATTTGACACATTCCCGATTTCTAGATATCCATTGCCAAAGGTGACTAAACTTTATCAAATACAAAGGTTATCTTTCTCAAAATTGGGTTTGTAATTGTTCTGTTTCCCTATAGATAGAAACACTACCACAGTCAATTCAGGATAGGATTTCAGAAGCTGATGAAAAGACTGGCTTTGTACCAAACGTTATGACGAGTTATGCGCACAGACCCAAGGAATTTGAAGCATTCTTCAATTACTACGATGTTTTAATGCAAAAAGGTGAGTATTGTAGCAGTTTGCAGGTCCGAGAGCATGCATTTACATAATATGTTGTTATATATTTTCTAAATTTTTAGAAATCGGAGATGCATGGCCGAGATCCATGTGCTACATGTTTGAAATAATGAAATTTTATTTCTTACTGAATGGAATGGAAATCAGTAATTCATTGCTAGAAATAGGCTTACCATACGTCCCGGTTTAGCCGGGACAGTCCCGGTTTTAGCAAGTTTTTTCGTCGTCCCGGCCGCAGACCTAAATGTCCCGGTTTTTCAGTATGGCAGTCATAAATAATTTTACTATTTGATACTATTACAAAATTGGTATGTCATGGTTATGAACCATGCGTTAATTCAACAAACAACTGTACTGTCGTTGAATCATCAAAATACCGAAAGAAAGGTGCAAGTGTTCTAATGGTTAAACGATTTCCATTATTTGAAGCAAAGACCAATAGAGGATATTTTTTTAATAGGATTTACAGCTAATTGCGATGCCTGTAATATACCTACAATGGTGTGGAAAACGTTTAAACTATTACTAAGCCTCTGTCGAAATCGAGATTGGCTTGTCCAATCCACACTGTCCCGGTTTTTTGTATCAAAAATATGGTAAGCCTAGCTAGAAACAGCTTTTTTCGCGAAATACAGAATTATTATTGTTTTGAAGCTGTATTGAAATACAAAATTACGTTGGTTAACTTGATCGGCGCACAATTTGTAGCATTTTGTATTACTGATATATTTATACTAATAAAAAATATCCGATAACCCTATTTAAAAGGTAGAGTGTGAAAGTGTTCAGAACATATTGTTCTGTCGTAATCTATAGAGGCAATGTGTGGTTTTATAAAGTTGAATAAGGCTTTCTGCAAAAGCGATGGACAACAAAATACACTTAACACACAAAACACATTACCTTTACAACCATATTCAACTTAAGATTATACAATATTTACGTTTCAGAGATCGGAAATTTATCAAAGGCCGATCGCGAAATGATTGTTGTCGCAACAAGTTCCTACAATTCGTGTTTGTATTGCGTGGTTTCGCACAGTGCTCTTTATAGAATTTTTTCGAAAAATCCCATCGTGGCTGACCAGGTAATAATATAATAATTATATTCTTGATAATTCGGAATTTCTTGAAATTTAGGTTTACAATTCCATTTCGAATAGAATGAATTTTTTTCGGATATCGAAAACGAGGTCGTTCTAGTGATTCTAGTACCTATTTCAAACTAAAAATTGACAGGTAGCGACGTGCTGGGAGGCAGCAGCTATCACAGATCGCGAAAGGGCAATATTAGAGTTGGCAATGGCCGTTTGCAAATCTGAAGAAATTTCGCAACACTATTTTGACAACCTTGCAAAACATGGCTTGGACGCCGAAGATGCGTGGGACATTGCGGCAATTAGTGCCTTTTTCAGCATGTCAAATAGAATGGCACACTTTATGAACATGAGGCCGAATGAAGAGTTTCATCTTATGGGCAGAGTACCGAAAACGAAAAGCAAACCTGCAAAATAGTACAGTGACATTTCCAGGTTCGTCAAATAACCAGGCTATAAAATACATTAATACAATAAGTCAAACTAAGGATTTTTGTTAGTAGATATTACCTTGAAAAGATACACTTTTATAGGTCATATGGTACCCCTCCTAGTATGATAGTGGTAATACTGCAGAGATATTATTTTAAAACGACCAGTTTTAAAACGTTTGTCCGAATACAGGATTTGGATATTAAATGCACTGTAATTATGGCATCCTGTGTAGTTCTCGTTAGGTTATCCGCTTGTTGCGAATCAGATTCAGATTTACCGTAATTATCTTTATCGTAAACCGAAGATATTTCTAATTTTTTTGAATAGAATTGATTATATATTATATAATAATTGATACATGGATCGTGTGATTGTGCTGTGCGTTTGCGAAAATTCGTGGATATGTGGTTAGTGGCAATTTTTCTTAAGATGCAAAAATTGGAGCTCTTGTATAAGGATTTGGTAAAAAAAATGTCGGCGTAAGGGCATAAAGTGTTCTATCATCTCAAAGGTTACGGGGAGGGGCTGATACTCTCACGACGTACGTGTGTTTTGGTGTTACCAAGCATGAAATATTATACAGGATCCTGTGCGACGAATTGTAACAGGGCACAAATTATGCGTTGGGCCAAATGACCGTGGTTGGATACCTAGAAATCAAAGACAACCCCATTATAAATTGACATGTTGTAGATAGGTTACCACTAACACCCTTTTAGTGTAACGTGTTATCCTTGGCACTGGATTGAGCATGCATGCAATATTGTTGGAATTGTGTTTGGCTGTTTGCCCCACAGGGAGTCTGTCTGTGGTTTTCGACTCAGTGGTGATTTTTTTGTTTCGAATTCTATCTTCTAGTTTTCGTAGAAGTTTTGCCATGCGTCACTATAATAGGTTTGGCCAGATGATCCTGGAACACTGGGTAAATATTTGTTTTCAGAGAAATATATACAGAACCATTATTGTACTGCTTTTGAGAGGTCTTCATTCAGACTCTTCATGACGTCCTTTCCTCTGTGACATTGCTTTATTAGGCAAAACGTGAACGTTACATTATTCAGGCGGTTCAATTATTACCTACATTTGCCGCCGCCTTTGTGGTTTTCATGTTGCAACCGGTACAATTATTGTCAATTTTTTTTTAACATTTTCTCTGTTGGATTTATAATTATTCGCCGATCTATTATAGCTGTGGGAGACAGCTTAGGTAGAGACGACATGTTCCGATTTCTTATCTGAAATAGAAGGAGAGAGAACCTGTTGTTTGTGAGTTGGATTCGAAAGAGAACCATTACTTGAAAGTTGGCAATGTGTCACAATCAAAACATATCGTCACGCTAATAACCGAATTGCGTAAGTCATTTTTAGCAGTTTTGAAAAAAAAACGTAAAAAACACCCTAATGATATTGCTTATGCCATTGAGAGTCAATAATTTGCCATGGTTCAATTTTTGATCGTAGCCGTATTCAAGGTAATCTGTATGACGCAGTCATGTGACGTCATAAGGGCGCACTGTGACTTAGGCAGAAATGTGTCTATAACTTGGGGACATACGCATTTTTGCAACTTGACTATATGCACCAGTCCTGAAAACCAAACAATCCAAAAACGAATGTAATTCTTAGTATCTACGATGCCTAATCCCCAAAATAGCTAATCTGTTCCAATTACATTATTTTTTATGTTTAAAAGTATAAATTTCATCACAATAACACGCTCTGCACACCAGCCGAAATAAGACTAAGATTAAAACAGCAATGTACCCTTATATAGTAGCCAACCAAGGTGAATTGGACTCTGACAGTGAATATCACAAGAGCACGCCTTCCTATACTGTAGTATAAATTCAAATTTATAAGCCTCAAACTACAATCTGAGATGCAAAAACTCGAAAATCCTTCGCCGATGTTATTTTGCCGTTGTGACGTCACAATAGTTCTGCGTTAACAATGATAATTCATTATGACGAAACAATTGAACAAATTTGCATGTCATACAAAATCTCAATTTTTATGGGTTTTGGAATTCTTAAAATAAAATCTGAGTTAACAGACAGGTGCGAGGCATTACATAAATACTTATTTTATAAAAAAACTTAAAACCGCCAAAAATGACTCACGCAATTCGGTTATTAGCCTGACCATATGTAAGTGTGAATAAATAACAGCATTGGGAAATTACTAAATTTGCTAGTGTTTTCTAAGATGTGGCTGTACGAATGTTGTAATAGACTCAAGTGATTTTAAAACCCACAGAATTTGCCTAATGAAATCCTCACTATTGTGCTTGATCAAAATACACACATATGTGTTGCAATGGCATATGGCAAACCAGGGATTCATGCCTATAGTCCTTGTGGGGCATTATATTAGTTAATTTTATTATTTGTTTCAGCCAGACGTTACGAGAATCACCTTGCGACGTCGTGTAGTCCAATAATCCCATCGCGCAAAATCTATTTATATATAGCCTATATATGTTTTACCGACGGATGTGGGATAGGTGTGGTGTACGAGAGTTTGATTGAAGGTGAAAGGGGGTGTACCATACCAAAACATGTAAGGAGAACTGTTATAGTATAAGCCAGCGTTTGGTACCGTGATCTGCTGAGTTGAGGAAAATATATTTCTTCCTCAGTCATATAGAGCTTATATCAACGTGGTCGCTGACTCATAGTCATTCATATTCACGTTCGACATCAGTCAAGTAATGAATAGATATGTTACTTTCCATTCATTTTCAAGAGAAAATAATGTTTAAAACATTTGGTATTAATGTCATTTGTTTTGTTTCGAAATACCTTAATTTTTTTTCGGGCAAAATGTAAATTCACCAAGTATCGTAAGACACCGAACATGCCAGCAATTTCTTTCTCTAATTCAAATGAATACAATTGCTAAAACATATATATATATATAGCAACCATAATCAAAAATTAAACAAGGTAGGTCGACATTGAACTACATTTTGAGGTAAAATGACAGAAAGCTGAACGAGCCGTTGACTCGTTTATGAAGTTTTGCCCATTATCCAGTAATTGATAATCTTTCAATCATTTCGCTATCAATCTTGTTTCTACTTATTATGCTAAGGACTTTTACTGTTATTGTTTCAATTCCCATTAATTGTGTTTAAAGTACACTAGCAATAGCAAAGCATTCTGCAGTAACATACATACCTATATATATACTGTATACACAAAACATACCCCTTAGCGTGCCATTCATGGCCTGACATACAGAGTGACCCAAAAACATAAAATGGAGTTTATTAAATGATTTTTTTTCAACTCGAACTTCTGTTTGTGTATGATTGGAAAGTCCGGTTCGATGAATGAGGTGCCCTGTTGGACCAATGGTGCAATGTTGGGATATTACTTGCACTCTACTGAGTGTAGCGGTCTCCATAAGACTTCCGTCGGAAGTGCTGTGCCCTAGTAAACATTATTTTTGCTATTGACATGTCCTGACAGCATAGAACATGCGCTTTAGCAGAAAAGCAAGTGAGTGGTTGACAATTTTGCGTGACGGATGCAAGTCTGTCTTCAATGCCAAGAAGGTGATTTGGAACCCATTCTAGACTAGAAAGAACATAACTTATATGCAAAACGTCCTAGATTCCCGAAACACCTGGATTACATTTACAATCATATACAAACAGAGGTTCAAACGCAAACAATATTCCTTTTTTTTTTCATTTTTGCAGAAGTAAATAAGAAATTTATGGGTTTTGTCTTTTTTTGGTTATGTGGCAAAAAATGAGGCAAGATGTCAATTTGCTTGTTATACATACACTAGACAGCAATGTCGCCCAATGCTGGTGAATAAATATTATAATCACATATGAAAATATTAACCTATTCCGTGTATTTATCTAAAAATTATTTCCAATAGTTTTATTTCCATGAACTGTCCTGTATAGCTAATTCAGTTGAGCTAATATTAGTCCCCAGTGCAGTGTAGTCGAATAATTACAGGGAAGTCTTTTTTTTTCTGTTTTTTTTTTGTTTTGTTGTATTTTGACACGTTTACTTAATTTGCAATGCCAGGTCGCAGAAAAAGTCTCAAACTAGGTACTAAGACATTTGCCATTGTTAGAGGTACGAAGAGAATTTTTATAGGGTCAAAGAGTTGTTTTTTTATATATATATATATCCCTAAATTTTAATAACACGAATAAAAACTGGCTAATGACTCACAAAACCGAGCCAACGTTGATTAGTCTGAGCCACCGTTCAAAATTCAATTGATACTTAATGTTAATTAGCTAATTGCTGATCGGTCGTTGTTATCGCAATAACCAAACAAGTCGATGCTTGGGGAAACATCCATCAACAAACTCTGAAATTTCAGAATCTCATTTTTGATTTAGTGAAAATATTCGAGAAATTTAGTTAGCTATTAAGATTTGCAATTGAGGGGAATTGCTAATGTTTCTCATAATGCATAGCGTATGTTATATATAAGTGATAGAAAAATAAAATACGTTGAAGAAGAAAAACGTGTTTGTCTCATCTAAATCCTAAAGCCGGAATAGAAGGTTTGTTGGGCTCATCCAGGGCAATGTTTTGTTGTACTCCATATGAAACACGGTTTTGACGACTGCGATATTATCCTCTTACACGTCATCATTAATATCATTTTTCAAAAATTTGAATATTTTTATATGATTGCAATTTGACAGGCTTGTCCATGGAACCTATCTTTTTGTCCCATTCCCATCCCTTAGCAATTATGCCTGTCCCACCCCATCCCAGGGGATTCCCATTGGAATACGATTCAATAAAAATTGTTAAATTTAGGATTATCGTCTACTAAATAGGACTACATGCACGAAGAGACATGCAAAACAACAAAATTTTATTCATAACTATTATACATGTGTTCACGAGATATATTGTTAATGCTCAATATATTTGGCTCTCTATATATAACTAACAAGAGAGCTATGCTCAAATATATGAACACGAAATCCATAACAAATTGTTTCACCATCATTTCCTCGAAAATCATACGGTTTTCGTGTTACACGTGTCCCATGGGAAATACAAATGTGTGCTATCCCATCCCATCCCATGGGACGTTTCCCAGGGACAAGCCTGCAATTTTAGATGCAGGGTGGTCTGCTGAACACAATTGGAGAATGGCGCAAGGTTGAAATCGCTCATAAATGTAATCTAAAATATGATCAACATTACGATTTACGACACATTTTGATAACATATATTTTATTTAAATACAATATAAATAAAAAACGAACGAAATTTCCAAGCAGATAAATTTTGAACCATACAATTGTAGTTCGCCCAACAATTGTTACAGCTCACAAAAAGTTTACAATAAATCATTAGCAACAATTTAATTGGCAATTGTAATCTATACAAATACTAGAGAGTTCTGCAAATGACTTGTTCATCTCTAGTTTTCCTAACAAATATATATATATGGTCGTGAGATTTCGAAATCACAGAACTCTATAGTAAACTCTGAATAGTTTTCAGTGAGTGGTAGATTAATCTCGCGAAGAAATAGGGGAATTAAAGTCTCTTTTTTATCTTCAAATCACACTATTAAATATAGCGAACAGCTCTGCGAGATGGTGAAAGTAAAAATGATAAGTAAAACTGCTGCTTTTATAGATAGAGGTTGCTTGATACTCATAATCGTTCTTGTTGCGACCTTGGTTCAAAAATTGGAAATTTTATAAAATATCACGTGGAAACATGTCGACAAACGGGACATGAATAATTTAAAACTCGCCAGCGATATATACATTCCCTATGAAACGAATGAGAGCATTTAAGCACTTTCACGTCGTTTTGATCAAAATAAGCTGAATTGTTGTCTAAGATTCGTTTGTCGTTGGCATGATTCGGTAATCTTTCCAAACATATTGCACATAGTTCGTCTTGTTTAGATTGACAGTTTTCCTTGTGGTGATTTTGTGACTTGAAATCAACATTTCGGTTTGAAGTCTGTAAAACAAATCTAAATGTTAACAAAAAATGAAATAAAGTGTACACACTCTTCATTTTAAGAATATAAACTTCTCAGCAACATCGCAAGACTAATTATCACCAAACAGTTGCATATTTGACCTCAAACTGATTGCCCAGAGTAAAATAACTTTGTATAAATTTCAACATTGAAAGATAACCCAAATCAATCGTTTTACGCACTACGCATGTACAGATAATTTGGACTTGTTTACCTGTTTGCGGTGATTTGAATTTTCTGTCAATCCAATGCCGAATTTATTTGCTAATCTTCGGCGAATTCTTATCCATTCACTTTCATCTCTGATTTGAATTCTGTTCTGTGTTGGTGACGTAAGATTGAACCTGCAGATTCCCATAGAGAAAGTCGGATTACTTTCAAACACGTCGTACTTTCTACCTTTGAGTTCCAATCTACGATGATTGACTGAATCTGTAAAAAGTTTGTGTATAAACTGTTATTTTTATGGACCATTTTCATAGGGATTAGGCTGTTATTTAAATCAGAAGCTAAGAATATACAACAGATGTAAGAAAAATTAAATCAATGAGATCAAATAGTTTTAAGCGCGAGGTGATGCGTGCTGAATAAATTAAGTCGGCTTATTCAAAACGACAGAAATATTTTTAATCCTTGGGCTGAAAATTGAACTCTTTTGATTAAAAAGCATAGCTGTACCTTGTTTCGTCAGCTAGTCAAATTTAACAATGAATTATAACACATGAAACAGGATTGAATAAAATAATTACTTGTGGAAGACTTTTTGACTTCATACGTTGTTAGCCGTCTTGCTTGATATCGCGGAATGTGACAAAGAGGGAACATCATGGCAAGAATCTTCGTTTGTAAATAGTAGCTAAGATTTTCTTCTGGCGAATTTCTTTTCGTGTGAAAATAGTTACAAGTCGTCGTGTTTTATACTTATCGAGATTTTAATTGCATCTTATTTAATCCTCATTTGCATTTATTTGGAATATAGTAAAAATGCTTACTATATTGTTTTGTAACAAACTTCAACAAAAATTGCAATATATGGGAGTTGATTTGGATATCCGTGTCTATTTTAACTAATTTTAATGAGGCTGAGAATATCGAAAATATTTCACAATTGAGCGTGCACCCTTCGTAAAATCATCGACGTCATGAGTACGGATAATCAAATTAAAGAATCACATGTCAACATCAGATATATACGCAATTTTTTGTATAGTTTTGACATAAACGTAAAAATTATGTATTATCTGTAACTTTGATAAAATATCAGTGAAAACACAAGCGTTCAGCAGAAAAAAACAGTGATTTGTTGAAGTTGACAGAATAAACACATCAACCATCTGCAAAATTTTACTGACTTCTAAGTATTTATTAGGATGATGTCTCAAGTTCTAAAATATTCGCATTGAAAATTACTACCGGTAACAATAGCGACGACCTCAACCAAGTTATTCGATTCGCCGACGTTGAGATTCGTACTTTTTTAGAGATGGTAATCAAAAATAGAACCTGGAAATATATTCTTAGTCATAGTGGCGTGTCGTCTTATTTAAAAACCTTACAAAACAGTTACTCCCTAATACTTATATAAAAATAACTTGAAATGAATGAGGTATTCCATTGATTATACGTGCCGATATTCCTAAATTAAAACTCCAGGATAAATATTATTCCCAAAATAACAAAATCGGCCGTCACAACGGTTCTTTTTAAACTCTAAATATAAATCATGCTGAAGCAGCGTCAATCTTCATAAACACTTTAAAACATGATATTTTCTAATTTGGAAGTATTTCTTCGATATTTGTCCAAAAACACATCTTTGACAACACACAAATCATTTAATTCCATTTTCAAATATTCTTACCAGATGGATAAGCACCAAATCCATTCATATAAAAAGTAAGTAGAAATGTTTTCTGCTGATGCTCCGTACACCAGCCAATTAGGATTGACTTTGCATACAACGCAATACACTTACAATTTGTATACACTTGCCTCAATTATTCTGACATACCGACTGGTTATTTATCGTACATGTTTATAATTCAATGATCTACACTCCACAGTACAATATTCACCTTAATATAAAGCAGTTGAAATTTTATTCAGTCCTATGGTTAGGATAGAATCCACTTTTCTCTGTACTGATCTGAGATGTTATGGTATTTTAGAATATCGAAGTTGCCACCGTTAATTCCAATAAGTATAATTATTTTTTTACCCGCGGGCTGAAACGGATTATTCTCGAATACTACAGAGCACGCGCTGCACTTGCTTTACTGTAGCTTTTACCGTGAAACGTTTAGATTATGTCAAACTGACGCGTACCTAACCATAAGGTACGGAAAAAGGAAATCGATCAAATTTATTTATTATTAAGCTCTGTAAAATGTGACATGGACGATCGATTTTATGTGCTACAAACTTATCAGTATATAGAATTTTTCAAAATTTTGTGATTGAACGTCGATGGTGAATCTTCAGAACTTGCGGTCAATCCATGATAAGAAGTATTACTACATTTCCGACACAACCTTATCATAGTATTAAATTAAAATTGTTCATGCTCAGGCTGTTGAAACATGTCTGCAATGCATACTTTTGACGATAGATCGTTCGCGTGGAAGTCACAAAAATGAATAAATCCTTCATTCAAATTTAAAATTATGGAGTTAATTAAGCTAATATATAAAGTCAAACGGAAAACATAATAAACTTCCAGCTATTCATTCAACATATGCTGTAGATATTAAACCTCTCAATTTTATCCAATTTTATCTCAATTTTATTTTGTTAACATTGCGCTTGATTTTAACATGGGCGGAATATCCATTGCTCATTGGCGGTATCATCTAGTATTCTAGTTTGATCAAAACATCAACAATGAAGACGTTTTGAAATTATTTAAATCGCTCCGAATCGATGCCCAGCATCATCTTTTCACACTTGTTAGTTGAATCAGGTTGAAATTAACATCAAACCTTGGAAATGATCAAGGTCTCTTGATATCTATTTCGTGGGTATGTTCCACATTTTACGAAGTACAAAATCAAATCTCAGGTGAATTAATCTCTGTAGCTTCGACTAATCTTGTCCATAATTACCACTCTGCATAGAAACAGTGAAGTTATATTGATTTATTTGATAAATTGATAAATTTATCTATGCTGCTATACCCTACCGATCACATATGCAATACGAAGATTCAAATCATAATTTGAAGTGAGCTTGGATTAAAAATTTTCAAAATATGATCCACTCATAACACACGAATATAATGAAGTGCCACTCGAAACAGCGTCTCGACAATAACACAAAGTAGCTTGCTGAGTGTGTGTATGTTAACTTAACGAGTCACCACTGTATTATTAAATATTTTACATTGCCGGTATACCGTTGTCTATGCTCCCGACTTCCGCTAAGCACGAGACCCGGATGCATAACCACTACAATCAATTTTTAACATGGTTGACGTCGCCACAGTACAGTAATAGACTTCTCGCGACAACAACAATCTTCAACTACTGAAAATTTCAAATCAATCTGCTCAGTAGTTAAGAAGTTACATTGGTTTAAAATAACGAATTTTCAAACCGTCGAATTCGTGCGACACCGTCGGAGTTCAGGGTGAGAGAGTAGCGTCATTCTGGCAACTCAGAGTTCAAAGAGTGATTTTTCACAACAACAACAACAAGAAAAATGCAGAATGAAAAAAACAATACATTTAGATCCACTTCGTGGTCAAAAACAAGGAAAATGCAATTTGCAATAATTTTCACTGCTCTATGGTGGCCCATCGTTGTCACGCGTAAAATTGAAAAAAAAAAATAAAAAATGAAATAAAAAACTTAAAATAAAAGTGAAATAAAAAAATAGTTGTGAAAAAACATAAAAAAAAAATTAAAAAAAAAAAAATTGAAATAAAAATAAAAACAGGATGTTAAAAAAAAAAAAAATTGAAAAAAAAAACGTGAATAAAAATAAAATAAAAAAGTTGACAACGATGGGCCGCCTCGTGGCCCATCGTGGCCCTCGTGGCCCATCGATTTCACGCGTTTTTATTTTGAGAAAATTTGGTTCTGCTTGGGACCAACGTTGTCATGCATAATCCTACGCGCACAAACGGTGTTCCCTGGGTTTCTAACTCATTACTGATTTTCTTGGGCAATAATCGAGCAATTTAATTTGCAAATGTTCTATAAACTCTCCATGATACAAGTTAAACTAGAAGTAATATATATATTTAAAATATTAATATGAGAATATAAAATTGAATACGTAAATTCGAGAAATTGTTTTTACGTGTAGAAGGTAGTTGAATTGGAGAATGCTGCTTAAATGCTCAGTTGTCCGGACACTCGAGCGATACCGATACCGTCTGTTCGTACCCGGTACCCAGCATACAGTCACTCATGAAACAAGTGGGATATACGGATAGTCTTGTAGAATATGGTGAATCGAGGGATGGATTGAAATAAATGGTCGAGTCCGCGCGATTTATCATTCGTCTGGATCGATGCGATACGGCTGTACGGTATGCCGAACGGTATGCCATACCGTATGCACATGCCGACATGCACGCTCCATTGAAATCAGGTCTAACCATAATCGCCTTTCAGCCTCGTAGTTGTACGATCAGACAGTGGCTAGAGCCGACTGACGAGTCTAACTAGGCTACTTTATGCACACAGTCTTTTTCTATTAATTCAAGTCAGTGCTACTTGAGCAGCATTCTCCAATTCAATTACCTTCTACACGTAAAATCAAATTTCCCCAATTTTCGTACTCAATTCTATATTCTGTTATCATTATTATAAATATATTACTTCTAGTTGAACTTGTAGCATGAAGAATTTATAGAACATTTTCGTTTTGAATTTATTGAATATTGCTCAAGAAAATCAGTAGTGAGTCAGAAACCCAGGGAACACCGTTTGTGCGCGTAGGAATATGCATGACAAGGTTGGTCCCAAGCATTTTTTATTTCGTTTTTATTTTATTTTCGTTTTTATTTTTAATTTTTTTTTCCATTTTATTTTTTATTTTTATTTTTTACAACAATTTTTTTATTTTACTTTTATTTTAAGTTTTTTATTTTTTTTTTCAATTTTACGCGTGACAACGATGGGCCACCATACTGCTCTTAAATATTTTTGAGGCGTGCCTTGATAAATGCGAGTGGTGTCTATTTCATACTATGAAAGTATATTTTACCCATTCCTGTGGAAGAAGAAGTCAAGTACAAAGAAAGCACATCGAGATGTTGCTTGGACTAGCATTATAGTCAAACATCCCCATCTTGTTCTTTTACTCCAGGGGCGTTAGTTTTGGAACCTTATTTTGTCATTTGATCCTGTTTTTTTATTATAGTTTGAACTTTGAACTATTCGTGAATCACGAGGCTCTCACTTTGTAGCTAGGATCGATTTCTAACAACCTTTCTTCACATTGCAATTATGTTTGCTGGTACTGAAATGACATTTAGGATTTAAACTCCTAAAATTATAACTTTCCAAATCATGATTCGAGACGCTACAAAATGCGTAGAAAAATTCTTCTATATTTCATCAATTATGATTTTTTGATGCCGATGCGAACGATTTTGAGAACGTATCTACTCTTGTCGCTTATAAACTGGTTCACATGTTTATAATCTTCATTTTTTATTCAAAATATCTATTCACAAGCTAGATATGCGTAATTTTATGTTGGTCTATCGAACCCTTGTTATGACAAATTTTTGATTACTGCATGTAAACTAACCCTCATCCGAGAACAAATGGCCATCGAATTATTTGATCTATGCATACATTTTGATTTTCGAAACACAACTAAACACTGAAAAATATATATCAACCACAAGACTAAAATCAGAGTTTCTGAAAAGCTTTTTTTGCATTGTATATCCGGGAATGTCTTGTTATAATGAACACTGAAATTTGTTCTAAAAAATTACACAGCTTTTTTCTGAAGATACAAACAAAGCAATAGAATGAGTGAGTAGAACGGTTTTAAGATGTTAAAATTTTAACAAACAAATGTCTCGTTTTTGCAAAAATGAATTTGCCGTATATAGCTGAAGTTTGAACTTCATTGAGAATCAAGATTTTCAAAATAAACATAAAATTGTGAAAAATCTAAAAGTTTTGGCCGCAAATTGTTTTGTTTTCATAGTTTTGGTATAGTCATAGAATTATCATTTCAAGTGCAGCTAGATAAAAATATGATAGCAACTTTGTAAATGTGGTTCAAGATTTTATTTCTGGTCACATTTTTCTACTGTGGTTGTTAGATCAGAAAACCCAAGATTCTGGTTTTCTGATCATGTATAAATGCGCGTTCCAGTAAATTGGTTCTAATGACATTTTCAACGACCCGTAACTTTTTATTAAAATGAATAGTTGCTATAGAAACTAAATCAAATGTATAAACATGCGAGCAATGCTCAAATATATGGACACGTAAGGCCATAATGTTCTCGCTCGGGTTTCACAATGGCAATTATTTATCACCAAATACAGTCACCAATCACTTTGTGAGATATTTGCATTGTTCACCGACAGTCTCAATTGCGGGCGGATTGTAAAAGTTGTTATGATTGTACAGGTGTAGAAAATATTAGACATCAGTATCTGCCGCTTTAACCCTTTCCATGCGATTTTTATTTTTTATTAAATAATCGTATTTGCTACCCCGATTTTATGCATTTGTACCCCCACAACTAATCGATCGACTAACGAAAAAGTAATGATCCTCTGCTGCCCACTGACGGCTCGTTGGAAAGCTTATTTAAAGAGCTTGCAACTGGCGATTAAAAAAAAAAATTTTTCGTCGTCT